GAGGGAGTTGAAAGTCCGTGTTGCCCAGCGACAGCCCCAAAACATCACTGCTCTAGAGGAGATCTGCATGGAGGAATGGGCCAAAATACCAGCAACAGTGTGTGAAAACCTTGTGAAGACTTACAGAAAACGTTTGACCTGTGTCATTGCCAACAAAGGGTATATAACAAAGTATTGAGAAACATTTGTTATTGACCAAATACTTATTTTCCACCATAATTTGCAAATAAATTCATTAAAAATCCTACAATGTGATTTTCTGGATTTTTTTTCTCATTTTGTCTGTCATAGTTGACGTGTACCTATGATGAAAATTACAGGCTTCTCTCAATTTTTTAAGTGGGAGAACTTGCACAATTGGTGGCTGACTACATACTTTTTTCCCCCACTGTATAGGTTGAGAACATTTGTGAAAAAGAGCACAGTTTGGGGGATATGGCATGAGGAAGCAAACTGGATGGACATCATTAAAATGATTGGAGAGGTTGAGGGTATAGGAAGTTCAGGAGTAAAAACAAACAAAATATAATTATTGTAAAATTGACCGTGTACATAAAATGTATATAGTATGTATAAGCTGGAAGTAGAGGCCTAAGCATTGTTGTTCACTAGTTTAATCCAAATAGGGGAGGGGTGGTGGGGTTGGAAAGTAATAAAGGAAAATACATTTTTTTAAAGGATATGTATATAATTTATACGTATTTATATGAATGTATTTGTAAGGGTTGGTGTGAGGTGTGACCCAGGTGCGGTGCAGGATAGACAGTAGACAGTAGGCAAGGATGGTGAAACAAGGATCTTTACTGGTGGTCCCGAAGCCAGGATACAAAAATAACGGACTTAACACGATAAAAGAAAGGTGGAGCAAATAAGTCTCCAAAAACAGGCTGATAGCCAAAATACGAAATCGTAACCACGACTGAAATAATAAAGAAACAGGGAGAACACTTCTCGAGTACCTGTACATACTTCTCCGATCAGACACTGATTAGTACTGCTGAGCATAGAGAAACTAGCAGAGAAAACTGAGCAAGGGAACACAGGGAAGTGAGGGCATAAATACACATGTGAACATGTAGACACAGGTGACACCAATAGGATCATGATTAGTCCAGACTGTGAGTGAGGAGGTGCCTAAGGTTGTCGGAGGAGGAGGACACATAGTGGATCGCTCCGGAACTGCGACCCCCTCCTGTAACATGTATGTGTATATGTGTATTTATATATATATATATATATATACAGTGGGGAGAACAAGTATTTGATACACTGCCGATTTTTCAGGTTTTCCTACTTACAAAGCATGTAGAGGTCTGTAATTGTCATCATAGGTACACTTCAACTGTGAGAGACGGAATCTAAAACAAAAATCCAGAAAAATCACGTTGTATGATTTTTAAGTAATTAATTTGCATTTTATTGCATGACATAAGTATTTGATCACCTACCAACCAGTAAGAATTCCGGCTCTCACAGACCTGTTAGTTTTTCTTTAAGAAGCCCTCATGTTCTCCATTCATTGCCTGTATTAACTGCACCTGTTTGAACTCGTTACCTGTATAAAATACACCTGTCCACACACTCAATCAAACAGACTCCAACCTCTCCACAATAGCCAAGACCAGAGAGCTGTGTAAGGACATCAGGGATAAAATTGTAGACCTGCACAAGGCTGGGATGGTCTACAGGACAATAGGCAAGCAGCTTGGTGAGAAGGCAACAACTGTTGGCGCAAATATTAGAAAATGGAAGAAGTTCAAGATGACGGTCAATCACCCTCGGTCTGGGGCTCCATGCAAGATCTCACCTCGTGGGGCATCAATGATCATGAGGAAGGTGAGGGATCAGCCCAGAACTACACGGCAGGACCTGGTCAATGACCTGAAGAGAGCTGGGACCACAGTCTCAAAGAAAACCATTAGTAACACACTACACCGTCATGGATTAAAATCCTGCAGTGCACACAAGGTCCCCCTGCTCAAGCCAGCGCATGTCCAGGCCCGTCTGAAGTTTGCCAATGACCATCTGGATGATTCAGAGGAGGAATGGGAGAAGGTCATGTGGTCTGATGAGACAAAAATAGAGCTTTTTGGTCTAAACTCCACTCGCCGTGTTTGGAGGAAGAAGAAGGATGAGTACAACCCCAAGAACACCATCCCAACCATGAAGCATGGAGGTGGAAACATCATTCTTTGGGGATGCTTTTCTGCAAAGGGGACAGGACGACTGCACCGTATTGAGGGGAGGATGGATGGGGCCATGTATCGCGAGATCTTGGCCAACAACCTCCTTCCCTCAGTAAGAGCATTGAAGATGGGTCGTGGCTGGGTCTTCCAGCATGACAACGACCCGAAACACACAGCCAGGGCAACTAAGGAGTGGCTCCGTAAGAAGCATCTCAAGGTCCTGGAGTGGCCTAGCCAGTCTCCAGACCTGAACACAATAGAAAATCTTTGGAGGGAGCTGAAAGTCCGTATTGCCCAGCGACAGCCCCGAAACCTGAAGGATCTGGAGAAGGTCTGTATGGAGGAGTGGGCCAAAATCCCTGCTGCAGTGTGTGCAAACCTGATCAAGACCTACAGGAAACGTATGATCTCTGTAATTGCAAACAAAGGTTTCTGTACCAAATATTAAGTTCTGCTTTTCTGATGTATCAAATACTTATGTCATGCAATAAAATGCAAATGAATTACTTAAAAATCATACAATGTGATTTTCTGGATGTTTGTTTTAGATTCTGTCTCTCACAGTTGAAGTGTACCTATGATAAAAATTACAGACCTCTACATGCTTTGTAAGTAGGAAAACCTGCAAAATCGGCAGTGTATCAAATACTTGTTCTCCCCACTGTATGACCTCAATTACCTTATATGGGGGATTGGAAGTGATGCAGACAATTTAGTTGATAGAAGTTACAATCTATCTGCAGTATTAAAGCTGATCTACCCCCTAAAAAATATATAAAAAAATAAAAGAGGGGGTCGGTGCAGTATTTCTCAAGTAAAGAAATGTGTGATGTGTTGTCTTATGTAAAAAAAGTTGGAGCTGCTGGGCAGGTCTGTCTCACTGTCTATGCTATTCAGTGGCAGTCGGTGCCGTTTATGGTTAGGGAGGACGATTTGTCTTTTATGACCATGGCCTTATTTCTATTACAGCATATTGGATGACTGTCATTTATATTCCATTCACCCAGCTCAATGTAACATCGATAGGTTTAGGTCACTACATGATACTCTAATTTAACCTAGCCTATGAATGAAAGTTCTAGCCACTGGGATTTTTGCTCATTCTTCAAGGCAAAACTGCTCCAGCTCTTTCAAGTTGGATGCGTTCCACTGGTGTACAGAAATCTTTAAGTCATACCACAGATTCTCAATTGGATTGAGGTCTGGGCTTTGACTAGGCCATTCCAAGACATTTAAATGTTTCCCCTTAAACCACTCAAGTGTTGCTTTAGCAGTATGCTTAGGGTCATTGTCCTGCTGGAAGGTGAACCTCCGTCCCAGTCTCAAATCTCTGGAAGACTGAAACAGGTTTCCCTCAAGAATTTCCCTGTATTTAGGGCCATCCATCATTCCTTCAATTCTGACCAGTTTCCCAGTCCCTGAGGGCGGCCCTCTCTTGGCAGGTTTGTTGTGGTGCCACATTCTTTCAATTTTTTAATAATGGATTTAATGGTGCTCCGTGGGATGTTCAAAGTTTCTGATATTTTTTTATAACCCAACCCTGATCTGTACTTCTTCACAACTTTGTCCCTGACCTGTTTGGAGAGCTCCTTGGTCTTCATGGTGCCGCTGGCTTCGTTGTGTCCCTTGCTTAGTGGTGTTGCAGACTCTGGGGCCTTTCAGAACAGGTGTATATATACTGAGATCATGTGACAGATCATGTGACACTTAGATTGCACACAGGTGGACTTTATTTAACAAATTATGTGACTTCTGAAGGTAATTGTTTGCGCCAGATCTTATTTAGGTGCTTCATAGCAAAGGGGGTGAATACATAAGCACGCACCACTTTTCCGTTATTAATTTTTTTCGAATTTTAATTTTTTTCATTTCACTTCACCAATTTGGACTATTTTGTGTATGTCCATTACATGAAAAATCAATTTCAATTACAGGTTGAATACTTTTGCAAGGCACTGTAGGTGCACAGGTCGAGAGAAAGATTTCAGTAATCAAGGTGACAGACAGTGACACATTAAATACCGCGTTGCACACTCTTGCCTGCTTCTGACTGATCTAGGGTGTAATCATTAGTCCAAACAGTTGCAAACGAGAGTTTCTATTGGACAAATTCAAGCATGTTTATCCCCATTTCTTTTCCGCTTGCTTCCATTTAAGAAACGTTTTTCAACAGAATTGGCAGAATGAATACACCCCTGATCACCCGCTCACTTTCATAGCAGCCACATACAAACAGCATGATCACTTTGCTCATTGTATAATTCCTGGCATTAGGGCTGGAAAATGCCAGTGCGCCTGTTTTACATGACAAAATTGCAAACTAACATGCATTTGACACCTGTGCATCCTTAGCGCCATATGAAAATAAAGCCTGCAGTCTTTTAACTCTGTCCAGTGCTTTCTTGTCTCTTCTCTCTCTTTATATCCAGTGTTTTCTGAACGGTCATTTTACAGCTCTGTATGACCGCTCTGTCTTCCCTCTCACCTGCATTCTCTCCCCTCTCTACCCAGCGTTCTCTGACCTGCCTGGGCTCGGTGCTAATCCTGAAGCCCATCCCAGAGCTGCTCGATGCCCCTCTTCGGGAGACCTCCATCACAGCCCCCCGGGACCCCCATGAGCTCAGCAGCACCTCCATGAGCAGCGGCTCCTCCTCTGAGTACGACGAGGCCGACTCCTGGGACTTCTTCCATCACTGCACCACCGCCGACGAGGATGAGGAGGAGGAAGAATTCGACCCCGTCATGGAGAGAGCCAGGATCCCTGAGCCCTTTGCCAAACTGAAATTGGACGAAGAGGAGGAGGAGGAGGAGGAGATGGGAGGACGGAGGAGCGTGCTGGAGAGGAGCATAAGCAGGCAGTCCGTAGGGTCCTCAGACACCTCACAGCAGCCGACCCCCCAGAGGGAGAGGAGGGTCAGCCGAGACAGCAGCCCGTCCCTATACCTCTCCGAGGGGGATGATGGCTCCGCGTCCGGGAGTGAAGGAGGCCGCATCGCCAGGAGCAGCCTGATCCGCAGCACTTTCTACAACAGCTCCGCGCAGCTCTCGCCCATGTCCGCTCGTCACATGACCCTCAGGGACAAGTTCCAGGCCAAGAAGCAGGAGAGAGGCCGCAAGCCGCTCCGCAGAAGCCTTTCTAGCCGCCTCAACGAGCCTCTCATTGAGTACGTGGAGGACGAGGGAGAGACCAATCATGGGCAAAGGCGAGGGTCTTTGCAGTCGTCCATGCTCAAGTCCTGCTCCTTTGACAGCGGGGTCGGCCTCTCGCACAATGCACCACCGCAGAGGAGGAGCAGGTCTTTGGACGAGTACTCCCGACGCTCACCAGGATCCGCCAAATGCAAAGAAGAGGAGAGTGCTTTGAATCTTAAGGAGGATTTCACTGATGAGGAGGAAGAGGAGAAGAGCTTGGACGTTCCCCCTCCCCAAGTCAGAGGTTCGGTGGCAGTGGCTCCCACTCAGCTTATGGCCAGGCTTCAGAAACTGTGTGCAAAATCGCCCCATGCTGGTCCAGGGAAGAGCCCCAGACCAGAGCAGGAGAGACCAGGGGAGGAAGAGGCGGGGAACCTGGCTGGCTCTCATTACTCCTTGGCTGAGTCCCTCATCCTGGAGCATGGCTCTGAGGCCTCCAGCAGACTGGGCTCCTGTGAGGAGCTGTCCCACAGCTGCCCTGCAGCCACACACAGAGGGAGAGCAGGGGATGAGTATGATGACCAGGAGGAGCCCCTGATCACTCCATCCCCCTGCTCCCTGCTCCAGGGTTCTGAGGCTGAGGAAGCTGATCAGGAGCCCCAGCACCGGACCGGCCAACTTCAGATCCTACCGAGAAGGACAACCCACTCCAACCAGAACTCAATGGCCAGAAATAATGGTAAGGTAGAGAAGACGGCCATGCCGGTGAAACCCAGCCCCAGCCTGTCCTTCAAGGCCCCAGAGAGGCCCTCGAGGGCCAGCGATACAGAGGCACGACTCCAGAGGCACGCGTCCACCTCGGCCCTCCAGGCCAAACCACCCACGGGGAAGTCTCCCAGGATGTCACCCAAGGTTGGGTTGATGAATCTGTTCCGTAGGCAGTCCTGGGCGGGGCATTCATACTCGCAGCTGGAGGGCGTGGAGCATGGACCCACACTAGGGGAATTGCAGCCCAAAACCCCCACCATGTCACTCAGGAAAAAGATGAGGGCATCAGCCTCTAGCCTCACCAATCTGTTCACTAAATCGTCCAGCAAGGAGGACTTAACAAAGGGAGGTGAGCTACCATGCACTTTTAGTTTTGTAGACTTTTTAAAATGTTATCACTCTCATATAGTGGAAACAATCACAATTTCCACCCTTTATGTTTCTTGGTGCGATGCAGGGCCGATTGTAAAGGGTGCATCTCCTGCTCTACCTGAGAAAGAGGCGAGCCCTGGCTTGGAGAGTCCTAAAAAGAAGTCCAAATTATTTTCCTTTAAAATACCTAAAATACCTGCATTCAAGAAGAACAAAGGTGAAGTATATTTGGACTCAATTTGCAATCTATTCAGCAGGAGAGAGACTTTGTGTGTCTCTGCAAGTCTAATGTTTATCTTTCTGTTTTCTCTCCAGAGATGCCCATCCACCCCACCAGGCCTGATGTGCACCAGTTGGAGGCAGGTGGATTTCTGCTGGTATGGAGACCAGTGCAGTCCAGCGACCCAGTGGTTTACTGTGTTCAGTACAGCACAGATGGTACGAAAAACACTGCTTACAGATCACACAGATTTGTATATTGATTTTCCACAGGAATGTGTATGTCACAGGAGGTTGGTGAGGGGACGATGGCTCATAATAATGGCTGGAATGGAGTAAATGGAATGGTATCAAGCACATGGCAACTATGTGTCTGATGTGTTTGATATCATTCCATTCATGCCGTTCCAGCCATTACTATCCGCCCGTCCACCCCAATTAAGTGCCATCAGCCGCCGTACCACCAGCCGCCTGTGGTGTATGTGCAGTGAAGTGAAGCAACATTAAACTTAACAAGTTTAACACTGTCTACCGGAGTGGGCAGATGACAATGATGATGACGCACCTATTGCACATAAGATATTAGAATTATAGAACATTTGCATACTCTGTGCTGCCACAGGTGGGGAATGGAAGCTACTGTGTGAGGAGGTGACAGACAGTTGCTACGTGGTGAAGGACTTACCCAGAGGAGCAGGATACGTGTTCAGGGTGGGCTGCATCACCAAGAAGGGGGCAGGACCTTTCAGTGACCCTTCACCACCTGTTGTTATGGCAACCCATCCTGAAGGCAAGAAAATTATCTATGCTCCTTGTTTTATAGTAGTGTTTATTGATGAAAGTCTTTGGTGCTCTACCTCCCTTTTTGAGTCTGTGGCCAGAAATTATACTTCTCTTTTAATCTACAGAGACCCACATTCCCCTCATCCAGACCGAGTCCCCAGGATCACAAGGGCAGTGGATCAAGAGATCAACCTAGCCACAAGACCTACAGCTTCCTCTCAGAGATCAACAGGTACTGAACAGTCAACACTGGGTTAGGAGAGTTGCAGTTTTTTCTAGACGACGTGAATGTGTACTCATTGAACATTTCTTTACTACTCATCTTTCCTTCACACCTGCAAAGTAGGCCTGTGTAGATGTGTGTGCAATCTCTCTCACCATCTCCCTCTCCATGTTGTTCATGTCAGGGGTCGTTTCAGCGTGGTGACCCAGTGCCAGGACAGCCAGAGCCAGCAGCTGTTTGCTGCCAAGATCACCCCCTACAGGCCAGAGAAGAGAGAGCTGGTGCTCAGGGAGTACCAACTGCTTAAGAGGCTCAACCACCCCCACCTGGTGCAGCTGCACACGGCCTACATTACCCCCCACTACCTGGTGCTCATCCAGGAGCTGTGTGCTGGCAGAGAGCTGCTCCACAACCTGGCTAAGAGGTCAGAAAGACACAGCATAGAAAATGATTGCTGCCTGCTTTACATTACAACATTACTTAGTAGTGTTTGGGGGTGTGCTAGCTTGTAGTGTTACCTGGCTAATGGGTTTTGGAATTTCCAGAGTATGGATGCAAAATGTGTTATTTACTGTACTTGGTGAAAACCACATGCAGAAGATGTCTTTTAGATAAATAAAAAGGCCATACCATGTTCTCCCTCCCTCCCTCCCTCCCTCCCTCCCTCCCTCCCTCCCTCCCTCCCTCCCTCCCTCCCTCCTTTTTCCCCCACACAGAGATCTGTATGCTGAACTCCATGTGGCAGAGCTGCTGGCTCAGATCCTGAGTGCTGTGGACTACCTGCACGGCCGCCGCGTCGTCCACCTGGACCTCAAGTCTGATAACATGCTGGTGACGGACCGCAACATGCTGAAGATTGTAGACCTGGGCTCCGCTCAGTCCTTCACACCCGGACAGACACTCAACATAGAGCACATTCAGGGACAAGAGAAAGGTACATCAAGAGAATGACTGGAAAGGATGAGCGGGGAGGATGAGTGGATGGGTGGATGGGGAGGATAGGTGTTACTGAACAAAAGCTTGCCTAACTTCATCACTCAACTTTTCTCCTGAAGAACACTTACATCCATCTTCCCATTTTACGCAGAGACTCCATTGTGTGCCTCTCCACAGACAACGGGCAGAAAAAGAATGGCAGATGGCAGTACGCTAACCCAATGTTAACTTTTATGCTTTTCCTAACCGTTACCCTAACCTCACCGAAACTATGCCAAACCTTAACCTAACCCTTTTTCCTAAACCTAACCTTCACCATAACCTTAATTCATTTCGACCTCTATGTTCTGCCGCTGGAATATACACTTTCTTCCTTGAAAGATTCATTTTAATTTACTGGCACGTACTAATGGAAACAATGGAAAGTAAAACTCTTATGAAGAATGCCCTCTCTATCTGTCATGTTTTGCCAGTTTACATTGTCCTTCCTAAAGCTCCAGAAATCCTCGACGGACAAGGAGTCGGACCTGAGACCGACATCTGGGCTATTGGGGTTTTGGCTTTTATAATGTAAGTATAGAGGGGTTGTTCCACGAAATGAGTGCCTTTTGTGTCCCTTTAATATTTTAAGTAGAAATTGTGCACAAATATTGCATTTTAAAAGCCAGTTATATTAAATGAAGTGCCCTTACATATAGACCACATGGAAGATGCAATACATCTGACTTGCTAAAGTGCCAAAATTCAGCATTTTGACATATCCCTCTGTGCACCCTGTGTGACTTCTAGGAATATATTAACCCACTTAACCTGAAAATGTTTTCACCATCATTGTAAAGCCCTAATTAGTATGTTGTTTTGACAAAGTCATTTCTGGCGACTATTATTTATTTAATGTGATTAGTGATTCATAAAAAAAAAAAAGGTCAACCCTGTTACGTGAACTGAACTCTCATTTTAATATGGTGAAACTGAGCGGGTCGAGCATAACAGGTTAACCCTGTTACCCATAGATAGACAGGCTAGAAATGTTTCAACAATGTCCTTTTTTTTGTGAAGCTTGCATTCAATTGCCCCTCCCTGTTGCACACAACACGCTTCCATTTCCACTGTCACAAGGGGATTCATGGCTGATGTAAGATCAACACTGTTACTTTACTTTGGTCTTAATAGGCCCTTACTATAGTGATTTTTTTTTTTGAAGGGAAGACATGTTTTTTATTAAGTTGAACATGTGCTCTTTATGACAGAATGTAAAAAAAAAAAATCACCAAGTTACACTGCTGAAAATGCACCCAATTGGTGGAACGACCCAGAAAGGATTTAATTATTTTTGCAATAATTACACTTCTCTCTAATATTTAGAGTACTGATTGCCCTGGATGTGTAAGTTTTATCCTATATATCAGGTGTCAAACTCATTTAGCCCCGCAGGCCAAACTGGGTCTTCACAGTGGTCCAGAGGGCCGCACTTAAAATGTGTTATATTTCCTCGCGGCCAAAATGTGCAAGAAATTGTCCCATATCCATTGCTTTTGGAATTTTCGATGCTCCCTGACTATCTAGCATTCGTTTCAATGACTGTTAGCAAGCTGGACAGCATGAAGAGATTGTAAATGTAGATCCATCATCATTTTTACACAGTTTCAATTTGGTTTTAGTCATTTCAATGTCAATTAAGACCGTTTTTCAAAGAAAAACTGAAACCCCCTGCAGGCCAGATTGAATGGGCTCGCGGGCCGGATCCTTATGTGTGACACCCCTGCTATACAGCCATATTGCCATTTATTCCTCTGTTTCTCCTCTGATATGTCTATGTGAGGGGACTGTGAGGGGACACACACAAACACACACACACATTATTTTTGTTGTTGTATTGTTTGTATTATTATTATTATGTATTTTTATTTTGTATTGTTTGTATATCGTTGTATTTTAAATTTGTGTGACTGGCCTTGTCTATCAGCGTATCCGTGTTTTGTTATTTGTCATGTTTTGTGTTTTTTGTGGACCCCAGGAAGAGTAGCTGATGCTTCTGCAAAAGCTAATGGGGATCCAAATAAACAAATATGTCCTCCCTCTCACCACCTAGGTTGAGTGCAGATAGCCCGTTCCATTCAGACCTCAACTGGGAGAGGGACAGAAACATCCGGAAGGGGAAGATCCAGTTTGGCCGCTGCTACCCTGGCCTGTCAGAGGGAGCAATCAACTTCATGAAGAACACACTGAGCAACAAGGCCTGGTGAGTCCATTGACAACATCTCAGCCAACCAGGACCTATACCTATTGCCTTTTTGAGATAGCCAAGCACACCCAAAGTCGTTTCATTGTGGGATAATTGATAGATAGTGTTAACATTATATGTTCCCCACTCCCTCTGAACAACCAGAACCAAACATTTCAGAATGTTCCTGATGTGTTTCGTCTGATGTGTTTCCTCAGGGGGAGACCCTCGGCGGCTGAGTGCCTCCAGAACCCGTGGGTAGGGGGCGAGCGGGCCCCCTCCAAACACAGAGACTCCATCTTGTGTTTCTCCACTGACAAGCTGCAGGCCTTCCTCAAGGAGAGAGAGGTGAAACGAGACCAGGTCCGCACCAAGCTGCAAGGGCCGTTCTTCCAGTGAACTGCTCTTCCAGTAGGACTGTTAGAAAATACAAATTAGCTGGAGCTGGATGAGATCTCTTCATAGCCCAGATCCTGATCACAAATATGTGATGTCTTACAAATGTTGACCTAAAGTGGAGAGTGGTCAAATGTGTACGTATTAATGGCTGCCTAGAGTTTTGTTAAAAGTTTATATGTCTGAATGAGTTGGACTTTGGCTTTGGTTGAATTACGGCGCCATGATATCAGGGAAATGTTTAGTTAAATGCTTTATGCAAATACTGTTGCATGAGTTTGAAAACATGATGATATTGATGTGTAAATACATCATCCCTTTGAGTTTGCAGCATTGGACACTAATTACATTTTACATTTACATTTTAGTCATTTAGCAGACGCTCTTATCCAGAGCAATTTACAGTTAGACATTTATAATAACAAAGGCTGTTGCATCTAGCCATTCAGAAAATGTTTTTGTGTTTTTTGTGAATCTTGACAATATGTTTGTGGTTCATTAGCCAAAGGGAAAGATCAGAGGAGGGGCCCCTACCAGTATACAGGGCCCCTACCAGTATACAGCTTTGTCTCACAAAGTGAGGAACATTGAAATCCCTTTCGGTAGATACATATTTATAGACAGATTTTTATACAGTACCAGTCAAAAGTTTGGACACACCTACTAATTCAAGGGTTTTTCTTTATTTTAACTATTTTCTACATTGTAGAATAATAGTGAAGACATAAAAACTATGAAATAACACATGGAATCATGTAGTAACCAAAAAAGTGTTAAACAAATCAAAATATATTTAAGATTTTATATTCTTTAAAGTAGCCACCCTTTGCCTTGATGACAGCTTTGCACACTCTTGGCATTCTCTCAACCAGCTTCACCTGGAATGCTTTTCCAACAGTCTTGAAGGAGTTCCCACATATGCTGAGCACTTGTTGGCTGCTTTTCCTTCACTCTGCGGTCCAACTCATCCCAAACCATCACATTTGGGTTGAGGTCGGGTGATTGTGGAGGCCAGGTCATCTGATGCAGCACTCCATCACTCTCCTTCTTGGTCAAATAGCCCTTACACAGCCTGGAGGTGTATTGGGTCATTGTCCTGCTGAAAAAAAAAGCTAGTCCCACTAAGCGCAAACCAGATGGGATGGCGTATCGCTGCAGAATGCTGTGGTAGCCATGCTGGTTAAGCGTGCCTTGAATTCTAAATAAATCACTGACAGTGTCACCAGCAATGCACCCCCACACCAGCACACCTCCTCTTCCATGCTTCATGGTGTGAACCACACATGCGGAGATCATCCGTTCACCTACTCTGCTTCTCACAAAGACACAGCGGTTGGAACCAAAAATCTCAAATTTGGACTCATCAGACCGAAGGACAGATTTCCACCAGTCTAATGTCCATTGCTCATGTTTCTTGGCCCAAGAAAGTCTCTTTTTCTTATTGGTGTCCTTTAGTAGTGGTTTCTTTGCAGCAATTCGACCAAGAAGGCCTGATTCACGTAGTCTCCTCTGAACAGTTGATGTTGAGATGTGTCTGTTACTTGAACTCTGTGAAGCATTTATTTGGGCTGCAATGTCTGAGGCTGGGAACTCTAATGAACTTTTCCTCTGCAGCAGAGGTAACTCTGGGTCTTCCATTCCTGTGGCGGTCCTCATGAGAGCCAGTTTCATCATAGTGCTTGATGGTTTTTGCGACTGCACTTGAAGAAACATTCAAAGTTCTTGAATTGTTCCGGATTGACTTACCTTCATGTCTTAAAGTAATGATGGATTGTCGTTTCTCTTTGCTTATTTGAGCTGTTCTTGCCATAATATGGACTTGGTCTTTTACCAAGTAGGGCTATCTTCTGTATACTACCCCTACCTTGTCACAACACAACTGATTGGCTCAAACGCATTAAGAAGGAAAGAAATTCCACAAATTAACTTTTAACAAGGCACATCTGTTAATTGAAATGCATTCCAGGGACTACCTCATGAAGCTGGTTGAGAGAATGCCAAGAGTGTGCAAAGCTGTCAAAATATAAAATATATTTTGATTTGTTTAACACTTTTTTGGTTACTACATGATTCCATATGTGTTATTTCATAGTTCTGATGTCTTCACTAATATTATACAATGTAGAAAATAGTAAAAAAAAAAATAAAATTGAATTGAATGAGTAGGTGTGTCCAAACCTTTGACTGGTACTGTGTATAAATATAGATAGATATTTAAGAGTGAAACATTTACACTATTGAAATGTTTTCAACTGTTTTATTGTTATAATGTATAAATGCATAAATAGATTATATAAATGGAGAATAAGATCATAAGTAAATTCAGCATATTTTTGATTATCGTTTATTTGATTTCATGGAGTATACCTTGTGACAGTTGATGGATGTACTGAAAGGCTAATTAAACAGTATATCAGTGGTAGGTTTTACTTTACATGCTTTTTATTCATCTAGCTCAGTTGCATACCAAAACATACACACCAAGACACACACATTTTCTTTTCTGCTGATGGATGGCTACAGCAAGTGACCTGAGAGTTAAACTGACCACCTCCGGACTGACCTGTGACCTCTGAAAGCTGTGTTGAGTGCTTGGGTCCTTACTCAGTCAGTTACATATTCATCCACAAATACTGTTAAATTAGTAAAACACTCAACAATACACATCCCTACCTTCTGTGTAACATCATTCAGACTTTATCATTGATTAAAACCAAGAGAGAAAATTAGACTACAGAATACAGAATGGTTTCTTACTATTGGACAAATAAAAACAGTTTAGATTAAGACAGTGTAGTGTTTACCTCAAAGCTATTCTACTAATATGACATTTCACAGCCTAGACAGTTTTATTGTTTTTTGTTTTACTACTTCTCGGGTTGTTTGTCCATGATATGCTGGATGGTCATCACACATGTCAAGTCAGGGGCATGTTAAGTAAAATGTCAAACCTTGACAATGAAGGTTCAGTGGAAGGTCTAGTGGCTTTGGCAGTAGTTTCTATTTGTCTACATGGCGGAAAACCAGTTGTCAGTAAAGTATGAAGTAGACATTTACTGTGCAATGTACAGTGGCTTGCAAAAGTATTCATCCCCTTGTCATTTTTCCTATTTTGTTGCCTTACAACCTGGAATTAAAATTGATTTTTTGGGGTTTGTATCATTTGATTTACACAACATGCCTACCACTTTGAAGATACAAAATATTTGTTATTGTGAAACAAACAAGAAATAAGACAAGAAAAACAGAAAACTTGAGCGAGCATAACTATTCACCCTCCCAAAGTCAATACTTCATGGTGCCGCTTGCTTGGTGGTGACCCATGCTTAGTGGTGTTGCAGACTCTGGGGCCTTTCAGAACAGGTGTATATATACTGAGATCATGTGACAGATCATGTGACACTTAGATTGCACACAGGTGGACTTTATTTAACTAATTATGTGACTTCTGAAGGTAATTGGTTGCACCATATCTTATTTAGGGGCCTCATAGCAAAAGGGGTGAATACATATGCATGCACCACTTTTCCGTTATTTTTTTTTTTTTCACTTCACCAATTTTGACTATTTTGTGTATGTCCATTACATGAAATCCAAATAGAAATCCATTTAAATTACAGGTTGTAATGCAACAAAATAGGAAAAACGCCAAGGGGGATGAATACTTTTGCAAGGCACTGTGTCTACTATATACTCTACACATACCTATCAAATGCCCCATTCTCTTACCCATTTCTCATGATCTATTGACTGAATGAACATGGAAAACGACCTAACAACCCATCTTGAGTCTTAGGCAGGGGTTGGAACTGAAATTATTTCCAATAGTTTAGTTCTGAACAGAACCATTATTTTTTTGCCTTCCGTTCCACTGTTCCAAGCAGCAAAAGACAGTTCTGAACCGTTTCGAACCAAAAAAAAACGTTACGGTTTATATTGTTCCTTTCTGTTCCCTTTTAAACCTCTGAAATATATATTTTTTACATTTAGCTCGACATTAAATTTATTCACCAATCAGTACGGAAAGAGCAGCTTGCTATGGAGCGGGCAAGCTATTTATATGCATTGGACAAACGAGTGTAGGGCGCGAGATGCGACTGACATTTTTTGGGTGGGGAGAGCAAGAGAGGGTGGAGGAGGAGGCTTGAAGCGTATCTTGTTGTTTGACCCCCATTATCTGAATTAGGCCCACATAATTATACCTACAGAGGAAAGGCTTCTTTCTGAATTACGCTTGTAATGTAAGTTGGCTACTAGACAATGCTTCGGAGGGGGAGGGGGAGGGGCAGGTTGCCTACACACACACACTGGCAAAGATTCTCATCTGGCAGGCAGACACTGGAATAAGTTTTTGAGTGACAGAGTGAGGGCTTCGCATAGGCGCTTTGTTGCGTTTTTTGTGGGACTGGGAAAAATGTCTGAAGTGTAAAATAACGTTATTAACCGGATTCCATGCTTTTAAAATAGTTTCCATGCTTTTAAAATAACGGTTCTGTTCCAGAACAGTATAGATCACTTTCGTTCCCAGTTCTGATTCTGTTCCTCGAAAAATTTAGTTATTTTACGGTTTTCAGTTCTGTTCCCTGAACCAGTTCCAACCCCTGGTCTTAGATGCATATAGTATGTGTTTCTCTGGAAATTCCCGCTATTAATCATATAGCAATGCTCAGAACATTTCTTTATGTGGCTAAATCGAAATTAGCTGATGTCAGGGGAGTGGATCTTATTGAGTTTCAGTGTTGATGCAGCATGGTCATGCTGGAGTAAAAGGCTTCATATCTCCTGTAAAGTACCAGGCAAGAGGAAGACTGGGACGCTGTTACTGTAGCTCCTTATGACTTGATGACCTCCTGAACTTTCGTTATTTCCTGTTGAGGAGAGGAGTATAAGGTGCTCAGGAAACGTGAGTAGTATATAATATAATAATATGAGCATTAGGCCATACAAATGTAAATAAATGTTGAACTGATACCCCTCTTTACATTCCACAAAAATAAAATACAAATCTGAAAAATGTAAAAATTGTACTGAAAAATTCCACGATTATAACAAAAACTTTCTCTCAGATTATGGCTGAACTATGCCTTTTTTAGCCTCCCCAAGAGGTTAGCCTCACCAAGAGGCTTGATTGGGTCGGTAAGTGTTGGACTAAGGTCACTATAGTATTTTAACAAGAAGGCACACTTTAGCTTTTTCCATTCACTTTCTGCCTCAATTTTCAAAAAATGTAATCTGTGAAACATTTAATACAATTTGTATGGCCTTGGGAAGGAAAAGGCACAACTCTCGCACACAATTGCCAACTTGGGTAACACTGTACCTTAATTTAAGGTGCCCCTGTAAATATGTAACTACACAGCAATAACTGTAGAAAAAACATTGTAGTTACCTAGGAATTGCTATGTAATAACATGGTAATAGAGTTTATCGGTATAGGTTATTACACAATTGGAACACGGACTATGTAATTTACTTGCTGAAGGTAATTCCACATATGTTGTGTAATTAATCATGTTCTATTTTATGTTATTACACATTTATTTGTTAGAGTATGTAACTAGTATGTTTTGTAATTACACTTTGGAATTCACCTGTATATTACCATGTTAAGAACTCCAATCCAAATGGGTAACATTGCTACATGTAACTACAAAGGGCCAGTAAAACCAAATCACCAGGTAGTCTCAGGGTTGATATGGTCTTGATATGTGGATCTTAGTAGACTATGACCTGGTAACAACACTTGTAAAAAGGCATACCCTGCCATTAACTAAAGATTGTTTTCAGTAAAAAGTTTATTGCCATGCTACATAGACCAGGTATATTGAATCAAATGCTGGTGGCGAACCATGACTATTGGACCTTCAGTGGGGGGGAAAAATCTTCCAAAACGTCAAACTCAAAAATCAAGAAAAATACCTGAAACATCATCACTTAGGCCCCCGAGTAAGTGGGAGGGTTTTCAGTGGTTGAATGAAATGTATTCAGAGCGTGCAAGGTAGCCACAACCGCAGAGCAAGTTAAGCGACTGAAAAAAGTAAGTTTGAATACCAAATACTGAGAAGTGCCTAGGAAAGGCATACATTCCTAAATCGGGATTGGGCCCTTAATGCCCACAACATTACATCTAGCTCTAATGCAGGAGTAGCAATGCTTTTTGATTACATAATTAATTAATCAAACAAGCCTGAGCCAGCGTCAGGCTGTCACTCACACGCCTGCACGAAATAATGCGACCAGCAACAACAACAACCACTTAAACAACCTGTGGTAGCCTAACACCATCACTATCACACTATCCCCAATAGCCTAGTGATGTCAACAGTGACACATCAAAGGTGACAGGCTTGTTGTGCTGAAAGGACAGCGACCATAATCTGCACACTCCATGTAGGAGAGAACAATTTTTGCAAAACACATAGACATGGCATAAAGCAACCCATTCCTAATAACCCAGTAGACCCCCAATCATAACAAAAACACAACCATTAAGCATTTCCAAATCGAAATGTACAACTATTACTTCTCATTGCAAATATATTTGATCACATTCAGCACACAAAGTAACTGGTGATCTAAAGTTTAAACGCAACAATGTTTCGCAGGCATTATTTTCAAAGAGATAGCTAACAGCAAGCGAGCTGATAAAAACAGAAAGTCCGTATTGCCCAGCGACAGCCCCGAAACCTGAAGGATCTGGAGAAGGTCTGTATGGAGGAGTGGGCCAAAATCCCTGCTGCAGTGTGTGCAAACCTGGTCAAGACCTACAGGAAACGTATGAGCTCTGTAATTGCAAACAAAGGTTTCTGTACCAAATATTAAGTTCTGCTTTTCTGATGTATCAAATATTTATGTCATGCAATAAAATGCAAATGAATTACTTAAAAATCATACAATGTGATTTTCTGGATTTTTGTTTTAGATTCCGTCTCTCACAGTTGAAGTGTACCTATGATAAAAATTACAGACCTCTACATGCTTTGTAAGTAGGAAAACCTGCAAAATCGGCAGTGTATCAAATAATTGTTCTCCCCAGTCTTTGGTCTAGCATTTGGAGACCACCAAAGAAAAATCCTGATTGGACCTTTTTTTCTCTTCAGTGTTAACCCTTCCCTTTCCAACACAAACTGAAGAGGTGAAATCAGAATATCATTTAAATTATAGAAAATATTAAATAAAACATGTAAATAAAAAATAATACATCATTTTACACATCCTTAGACCTTTTCTGAAGGCGTTTTCTTACGGTTCCCCACTGATCAAATGTTATGTTAGAACAATGTTGTTACAAAGGTTGCACATGTATTTACAATGTGCTTACCCAGGAGCAAGCGACTTAAGGTAGAGGGAAGTAACCTTTTTAATTACTATATAGTTACAATGTCTCTTTGTTATTAGTCTATTAACTTATTTTGTGTTGTGATCTCATGAGGCAAGCCACAATTCCATCCATGCAAAACCTGCTGAATTGAAGGTCCTGTGTAAATTGTATTTTCAACCAGCAGCTATCAGGACATAGCACTGATCACATTTTTTCACACTTTTTACAGTGTTAGTTTCATCAGCTGTACACAATGATACAAAACACAGGAACAACAGAAGTTTGACTGCACTGGGCCTTTAATGGATTTAATAAAGATTCATATTCAAAATCAATCTCATTTAATACAATGTTGTGGAAGAGTAGCTAGGCCTGTAGCTACATTACATTGTCAAAAACAAACATTGTAAACAATGTACAAATCTATGTCTTCAATTGATTGTGTATCTAAAACGTTCCTTTAAGATGATTTTGAATTGGTTTTGTGCCATAAATGCAAAAAAAGTTATCATTAGGAGACAGTGGCAAGGTAAACATAATCAAAGCATGTCTTACCTTTTCCAAAGACTGTAACTACATATTAAGTTGCTTGCTCTTGGGTAAATACATTGTAAATACATTTATATCCTTTATAACAGCATTGCAATTACAAAGTTGGTTGTTAAATGTTGTTACATAGTACAAAGTAACTAAAAGGTTTATGCCTAATGTCTCATCATTTACCCATTTGGGTTGAAGTTCTTGACATGGTAATACACAGGTGACTTCCAAAAGTGTGATTACAAAATATATTAGTTCCATACTGGAACAAGGAAATGTGTAATAAAATAATAACATAAAATAGATCATGAGTCATTACACATGTGGAATTACCTTCAGTGAGTGGATTTGTGATTACAAAGTCCTTGTTCCAATTGTGTAATAACCTATACCGATAAACTCTATTAAAATGAAATTAAATAGCAGGTTTGGCCTTGAAAGGCCTTCATCAGAATCACATCCGACATTTCCTGTTGAGACAGATATGAGAATATAAAGTATATTTACAGAATCTCAGTACATATATGATTCTTGTCCAACATGGACATCTATTCATCACCACCTCCTGCATCTACTCATCATCCTATTTTCAGACTCACCTCCTTAAGAACACTTTGCAACTTCTCATAGGCCTCATCCAAGTCATTGTTGACAATGACAATGTCAAACAATCCAGGCTCGTTGCCTACAGTAGGAGAGTGAAGAAACAATTATGAAAACACTACTCAAATCATTGTCAAAGGCATGTGATGGACTATACTTAGTTCAATTCATATCCCTCAAGCATGTGTAGTCTTCAAACCAGTTTACAAAGGACAGTAAGGGGGACCTACACTCCTCCATGTCAGTCCGTGCTTCTTCCAGGCGGCTCTGTATTTTCTCCTCTGTCTCCGTCGCTCTACCCCTCAGACGCTCTTCCTGTAAATATCAATGTCCCCAAAACAATGACAGTTTATGCAGTAGAAGAGAGGTAGGCTACTAGATTCAGCCGTGGGCTGATTCTTTTCTGAGCGAATGGTCAGTGGGCCGGAACATAATTATAATAATTTGTACACTACAAACGGACCACAAATAAGCTCAAATGTATTATATATTTCACAGTAACATAATTTCATAATCACATATGTCTCTATTTATTCATTGAAATACTTGGGAAGAGGTTTCATGAATTACATTTTTTTTGGCTGAATTCTTGGTGATTTAACAGTCTTCTTTTCCAACAACATATACAGTTGAAGTCGGAAGTTTACATACACTTAGGTTGGAGTCATTAAAACTAGTTTTTCAACCACTCCACAAATTTCTTGTTAACAAATTATCATTTTGGCAAGTCGTTAGGACATTTACTATGTGCATGACACAAGTAATTTTTCCAACAATTGTTTACAGACAGATTATTTCACTTATAATTCACTGTATCACCATTCCAGTTGGTCAGAAGTTTACATACACTAAGTTGAATGTGCCTTTAAACAGCTTGGAAAATTCCTGTCACGCCCTGGCTCTGGGGACTCTTAAATGTTGAGCTAGGGTGTGTAGTGTCTATGTTGTATTTTCTATGTTGTTGATCTAGATCGTGTAGATCTATGTTGGCCAGGGTTGGGGACCATACTTAGGCAGCATGTTTGGCACTAGTCATTGTGGGATCTTGTTCCGGAAGGTTTGTGTTCAACCCAGGGCTTCACGTATCGTTTGTTTTGTTGTTTTTGTTCGTGTGTGTACCTAAATAAAAGAATGTACGCATATCACGCTGCGCCTTGGTCCGCTTCATCAGTCAACGATCGTGACAGAAGATCCCACCATAAAAGGACCAAGCAGTGTGCCCAGGAGGAGAAGCTGGCGATGGCTCAGGTGGGCGAATGGTGGTCATGGGAGGACATATTCGCAGGGCAGAGGGCCCTGGACAAAGGTACAGGCCCTGGCAAGAGAGGAGAAACGGCACCAACTGTGCCGACGACGGACACGCGAGAGGCAACCCCAATAAAACATTTTGGGGGGGCACACGGCATGGACGACGGGGCTGCTGGAGGCAGCTACAGGGCGCATTGGCGATTTAGGAGAGGAGGCCACCAGGTTTGGGGGGCTGGAAGGGTGGTTGGCGGAGCCTAGAGGTAGAGCAGAGCCAACTCCCCGTACTCAGGCTAGGCAGCGTGAGACTGGGCAGGTTCCGAGTTATGCGTAGCTACGTACTGTGCCGCGAGTGTTCCGGCACAGTCCTGTACGTCCTGTGCTAGCACCACGCACGTGCCGTGCTAAGGTAGGCATGCAGCCAGGACGGAGTGTGCCGGCTCAACGCTCGTGGCCTCCAGTACCCCTCCTCGGTCCCGGGATATCCTGCGCCAGTGCCACGTGCTGTAGTGTCAGTACGAGTGCACAGCCCTGTACGTCCTGTGCTGATGCCTCACACAGAGTGTGTGGAAATAGGCATTCAGCCAGGACGGGTTGTGTCAGCTCTCCGTTCCAGACCTCAAGTCCGTCTCCACAGTCCAGCCCGGCCTGTTCCTGTTCCTCGTACCAAGCCTGTGGTGCACGTCGCCAGCCCGGTCCGGCCCGTTCCTGCTCCCCGCACCAAGCCAGTGGTGCGCGTCGTCAGCCCGGTCCGGCCTGTTCCTGTCCCTCGCACCAAGCCTGTGGTGCGCGTCGCCAGCCCGGTCCGGCCTGTTCCTGTCCCTCGCACCAAACCAATGGTGCGCGTCGCCAGCCCGGTCCGGCATGTTCCTGCTCCCCGCACCAAGCCAGTGGTGCGCGTCGCCAGCCCGTCCGGCCTGTTCCTGCTCCCCGCACCAAGCCAGTGGTGCGCGTCGTCAGCCCGGTCCGGCCCGTTCCTGCTCCCCGCACCAAGCCAGTGGTGCGCGTCGTCAGCCCGGTCCGGCCCGTTCCTGTCCTCCGCACCAAGCCTGTGGTGCGCGTCGTCAGCCCGGTCCGGTCCGTTCCTGTCCCCCGCACCAAGCCTGTGGTGCGCGTCGCCAGCCCGGTCCGGCCTGTTCCACCGGTGCCTGGTCCGGCACCGGTCAGCTGCTCCACACCGGAGCCAGAGCAATCCGCTCCACCGATGTTCAGTCCAGCTCCGGCCAGCGGGGCCAGACCAGACCAGGGGCGCTACGGGGGGGTAGAGAGAGAGTGGTGGTCACGCCCGGAGCTGGATCCGCCTCCGAGGCGGAATGCCCACCCGGCCCCTACCCTCTTGTGTTTGGTTGGCGCGGTCGCAGTCCGCACCTTTGGGGGGGGGGGGTACTGTCACGCCCTGGCTCTGGGGACTCTTAAATGTTGAGCCAGGGTGTGTAGTGTCTATGTTGTATTTCCTATGTTGTTGATCTAGATCGTGTAGATCTATGTTGGCCAGGGTGGTTCCCAATCAGAGGCAGCTGTTTCTCGTTGTCTCTGATTGGGGACCATACTTACGCAGCATGTCCAGGACTTCACGTATCATTTGTTTTGTTGTTTTTGTTCATGTGTGTACCTAAATAAAAGAATGTACGCATATCACGCTGCGCCTTGGTCCGTTTCATCAGTCAACGATCGTGACAATTCCAGAAAATGATGTCATGGCTTTAGAAGCTTCTGATAGGCTAATTGACATAATTTGAGTCAATTGGAGGAGTACCTGTGGATGTATTTCAAGGCCTACCTTCAAACTCAGTGCCTCATTGCTTGACATTATAGGAAAATGAAAAGAAATCAGCCAAGACCTCAGAAAAATAATTGTGGACCTCCACAAGTCTGGTTCATCCTTGGGAGTAATTTCCAAACGCCTGAAGGTACCACATTCATCTGTGCAAACAATAGTATGCAAGTATAAACACCATGGGACCATGCAGCCATCATACCGCTCAGGAAGGAGACGCGTTCTGTCTGCTAGAGATTAATGTACTTTGGTGTGAAAAGTGCAAATCATTCCCAGAACAACAGCAAAGGACCTTGTAAAGATGCTGGAGGAAACAGGTACAAAAGTATCTATATCCATAGTAAAATGAGTCCTATATCGATGTAACCTGAAAGGCCGCTCAGCAAGGAAGAAGCCACTGCTCCAAAACCGCCATAAAAAAGCCAGACTACGGTTTACAACTGCACATGGGGACAAAGATTGTACTTTTGGAGAAATGTCCTCTGGTCTGATGAAACAAAAATAGAACTGTTTGGCCATAATGACCATCGTTATGTTTGGAGGAAAAAGGGGGTAGGCTTGCAAGCCGAAGAACACCATCCCAACCGTGAAGCACGGGGGTGGCAGCATCATGCTGTGGGGGTGCTTTGCTGCAGGAGGGACTGGTGCACTTCACAAAAAAGATGGCATCATGAGGAATGAAAATTATATGGATATATTGAAGCAACATCTCAAGACATCAGTCAGGAAGTTAAAGCTTGGTCGCAAATGGGTCTTCCAAATGGACAATGACCCCAAGCATACTTCCAAATTTGTGGCAAAAAGTCCAGGTATTGGAGTGGCCATCACAAAGCCCTGACCTCAATCCTATAGAAAATGTGTGGTCAGAACTGAAAAAGCGTGTGCGAGCAAGGATGCCTACAAACCTGACTCAGTTACACCAGCTCTGTCAGGATGAATGGGCTAAAATTCACCCAACTTATTGTGGGAAGCTTGTGAAAGGCTACACGAAACGTTTGACCCAAGTTAAACAATTTAAAGGCAATGCTACCAAATACTAATTGAGTGTATGTAAACTTCTGACCCACTGGGAATGTGATTAAATAAATAAAAGCTGAAATAAATCATTCTCTCTACTATTATTCTGACATTTCACATTCTTAAAATAAAGTGGGGATCCTAACTGACCTAAGACAGGGAATATGTACTAGGATTAAATGTCAGGAATTGTGAAAAACTGAGTTTAAATGTATTTGGCTAAGGTGTATGTAAACCTCTGACTTCAACTGTATTTTCTTATTTTTTAACTTAAAACTTTGGGGGGCCAAATAAATTTGTCGCCTGTTGCGGAACCCTGCAGTGGAAGAACCCTGTGCAATGTATGGTTGTGGACTCTTACCAGGACCTCAATAGAGGGGGGCTGGATAGAGATGTAGATGGGGTCCAGGTTAGACTCCTTGATGTGCCGCACTCCCGCGATATCCACATCCAAGATACAAATGAGGCCTTTGGCCCTCACGTCCTGTACAGCACTCTTACTGTGGAGAAAACAAGCAAAATAGCTATGTTTATTCATTGCATCCACGATTCCACAGAAGAAATGAGAAATGATATATCTTTCCACAACTATCACTGATTCATTCTGTAAGACATTTTGGTGCCAACAGAAAGTTCCGAAAATATACTCTACCTTGTTCCATACAGGTTGCCCGAAAACTCATCAGTCTCAATGAATTCTCCCTTGTCAATATCCTCCTGCATAGCCTCCCTGTTTGTGAAGTGGTAATCTTGAAACGGACAGGAGAGAAGAAGAAGAGGTTAGTCATCAGTTGGGCTGGATGGATGGAGTTCTCTCAAAACAATAAAGGGTAAGTTCACAGGGTACAATACATTTATAATGATTAGTATTCAGGCACTAGAAAATGTTATATAGAAAGAATGCAAGGACAAGTATTGGTAGATAGGGAAATTAACATTCACATCACTACAAGCAATTCACACAAGGAAAGACCCCAAGTGTGAAAGGTTTGAAGGTGAATTGAAAATGTCAAAAAATACATTCTTTTTTGCCAAGGACTGGGTGTAAGAGAAACAGTATATACCACATAGAACGCAGTATAGAAACCACCAGACACCATGCAAACACACAACATCAGTTTAGCAAGAGAGAGAGTGTTGACAGGGCACACATCAAACTAACACATTACTGTGGCCCTACCATTGGGATTATCTTATTCCTCCACAACATCACAGTGGATCTAATACAGTGGGGAGAACTCTGTAGGTAACACAGGACAACCTTGTCACGATCACATTTACAGGAACAACAACACTCATATTGAACCTAGAGCCACTGATGTCAACACATACTCATTAGCATTACAACATGACAGGTTTGTTCAGACTCAGAATGAATCCCAGCACCATGTTTCCTGGTAAAAGGTACAGTGCCTTGCAAAAGTATTCATCCCCCTTGGCGTTTTTCCTATTTTGTTGCATTACAACCTGTAATTTAAATGGATTTTTATTTGGATTTCATGTAATGGACATACACAAAATAGTCAAAATTGGTGAAGTGAAATGAAAAAAATAACTTGTTTCAAAAAATTCTAAAAAAATAAATAACGGAAAAGTGGTGCGTGCATATGTATTCACCCCCTTTGCTATGAAGCCGCTAAATAAGATCTGGTGCAAACCAATTACCTTCAGAAGTCACATAATTAGTTAAATAAAGTCTACCTGTGTGCAATCTAAGTGTCACATGATCTCAGTATATATACACCTGTTCTGAAAGGCCCCAGAGTCTGCAACACCACTAAGCAAGGGGCACCTCCAAGCAAGCGGCACCATGAAGAACAAGGAGCTCTCCAAACAGGTCAGGGACAAAGTTGTGGAGAAGTACAGATCAGGGTTGGGTTATAAAAAAATATCAGAAACTTTGAACATCCCACGGAGCACCATTAAATCCATTATTAAAAAAATGGAAAGAATATGGCACCACAATAAACCTGCCAAGAGAGGGCCGCCCACCAAATTTCACGGACAAGGCAAAGAAGGCATTAATCAGAGAGGCAACAAAGAAACCAAAGATAACCCTGAAGGAGCTGCAAATCTCGACAGCGGAGATTGGAGTATCTGTTCATAGGACCACTTTAAGCCGTACACTCCATAGAGCTGGGCTTTACGGAAGAGTGGCCAGAAAAAAGCCATTGCTTCAAGAAAAAAATAAGCAAACACGATTGGTGTTCACCAAAAGCCATGTGGGAGACTCCCCAAACATATGGAAGAAGGTACTCTGGTCAGATGAGACTAAAATTGAGCTTTTTGGCCATCAAGGAAAACGCTTTGTCTGGCGCAAACCCAACACCTCTCATCACCCCGAGAACACCATCCCCAAAGTGAAGCATGGTGGTGGCAGCATCATGCTGTGGGGTATGTTTTTCATCGGAAGGGACTGGGAAACTGGTCAGAATTGAAGGAATAATGGATGGCATGAAATACAGGGAAATTCTTGAGGGAAACCTGTTTCAGTCTTCCAGAGATTTGAGACTGGGACGGAGGTTCACCTTCCAGCAGGACAATGACCCTAAGCATACTGCTAAAGCAACACTTGAGTGGTTTAAGGGGAAACATTTAAATGTCTTGGAATGGCCTAGTCCAAGCCCAGACCTCAATCCAATTGAGAATCTGTGGTATGACTTAAAGATTTCTGTACACCAGTGGAACGCATCCAACTTGAAAGAGCTGGAGCAGTTTTGCCTTGAAGAATGAGCAAAAATCCCAGTGGCTAGATGTGCCAAGCTTATAGAGACATACCCCAAGAGACTTGTAGCTGTAATTGCTGCAAAAGGTGGCTCTACAAAGTATAGACTTTGAGGGGGGTGAATAGTTATACACGCTCAAGTTTTCTGTTTTTTTTGTCTTATTTCTTGTTTGTTTCACCCCCCAAAAATTTTTTGCATCTTCAAAGTGGTAGGCAGGTTGTGTATTTCTAGAATCTGGTAATGAATGGAGTGACTGAGCAAGTTGAGGAGACGAAAGACTGCAAACGGATCGAATATTAGTGTTGGTTTTACAATACGGTAAATAACACGTACCTAAATAATGCAAAGTGTGATATGTATTTCATTTTTTCAATTCATGTTAATTTTATATTTACTGGCTTTTGCTCTTTTATTATTGATGTCATCGAAGGAGGAGGTCGTCGGGTAAGCTTGGCGTCGGGTAAGCTTGGCTTTATACATAGCTTGGGCTTTGTCGAGTAAGGCTTAAACTATGTATTTAGATTGTAGTTAGGTATTGTAGGTAGTTATCGTGGGTTGTTGTATGTAATTATTGTAGGTTAGTGTTGTATTCGGCTGTGCCCAGTGTAGCACGAAGCTAGCTAGCTAACCCACCACCTGGACTAGCTGGCGAGTAGCTATTAGCAACGGTATATTTGTTTCACGCCTGAGAGTGCCTGTAATTATGCCAGCTGGCTGCCTACAATTATTACATACAATAATTGCCTATCATTCAGCTGTTTTCTAACCTCATTGTCTGAACCGTTAACGTTAGGTAGCAAGTGGCTACTGTGCTTGAAATTTAGCTAGCTTGTTGCTACCTGGATAGCTACTAGTAAACAATAGCTGGAATGACCTAGCGAACAGATGCGAACTGGCTGAGTCAATTCAGTGGCTAGCTTTGCACTTGGCTAGCTAACAGTAGCTGCTAGGGGTAAGTCATAACCTACATTTGTCATTTGTTTGTGTTTTGTTTTTTACATATTGGTAGCCCGAGTCGTTCAAGGAATTCGGGACATGGGTGACTAGTTAACGTTAGTTTGGCTCTCTCTGTGTGTTCGTGCCGTGAAAGGAGGGGTTCTTCTTTGTCTGAAAGCAATGGCTAGCTAGTTTGCTAACTATTCTAGCTAACTAACTGGCTGAATAAGTTGACGACGGACTCGCTCAAACTGTCGGGACTAACCCACAACGTTAGACACGGACACGAACGATCTGCTTGCGTGTTGATACACTGGTGGTTTGTTGTGGCCGAGTATTGGCGCTAAACCGTGTTGTTGGAGTCCGGCATGCTAGCTGGCTGTGGCGTCTTATGACTAGGTGGCCGGACGATTTTCACGGAATAATACTGTACCTAGTTAGCTAGCTGAATAAACTAAGTTAGTCTATTCCTAGAAAACATTGAACCGCTGTAGTTTACAACAATTATAGTTTCTGAGGTGGAAGTTGGGAGAGTTATATTTGGGAGTTGTGGTGAGGGAGGCCCCGCTCTCTCCTTTCCCAGATGTTTAGTTCATTTCATTCCGATCTCCTCTGCATTATTGTAGCCATTTGCTGCAGCCTGTCAACTATGCCTCTGCCTATCCCTGTTCTCTCCTCTCCGCACAGGCTATACAAACGCCTCACACCGCGTGGCTGCTGCCTCTCTAACCTGGTGGTCCCTGCACGCACCACCCACGTGGACTTCCAGAGTCTCAGGCAGCCTCTGGGAACTGCCGTTCTGCTGCCAACAAGGCAGAGTTCATCTCAGCCTATGCTACCCTCCAGTCCCTCGACTTCTTGGCGCTGACGGAAACATGGATTACCACTGAAAACACTGCTACTCCTACTGCTCTCTCCTCGTCTGACCATGTGTTCTCGCATACCCCGAGAGCATCTGGTCAGCGGGGTGGTGGCACAGGAATCCTCATCTCTCCCAAGTGGACATTCTCAATTTTTCCCCTGACCCATCTGTCTATCTCCTCATTTGAATTCCATGCTGTCACAGTCACTAGCCCATTTAAGCTTAATATCCTTGTCATCCCTCCAGGTTCCCTTGGAGAGTTCATCAATGAGCTTGACGCCTTGATAAGTTCCTTTCCTGAGGATGGCTCACCCCTCACAGTTCTGGGGGATTTCAACCTCCCTACGTCTACATTTGACTCATTTCTCTCTGCCTCCTTCTTTCCACTCCTCTCCTCTTTTGACCTCACCCTCTCACCGTCCCCCCCTACTCACAAGGCAGGCAATACGCTTGACCTCATCTTTACTAGATGCTGTTGTTCTACTAATCTCACTGCAACTCCCCTCCATGTTTCCGACCACTACTTTGTATCCTTTTCTCTCTCGCTCTCCTCCAACACTACTCACTCTGCCCCTACACAGATGGTAATGCGCCGTCGCAACCTTCGCTCTCTCTCTCCCGCTACTCTCTCCTCTTCCATCCTATCATCTCTTCCCTCTGCTCAATCCTTCTCCCTCCAATCTCCTGATTCTGCCTCCTCAACCCTCCTCTCCTCCCTTTCTGCATCCTTTGACTCTCTATGTCCCCTATCCTCCCGGCCGGCTCGGTCCTCCCCTCCAGCTCCGTGGCTTGATGACTCATTGTGAGCTCACAGAACAGAGCTCCGGGCAGCTGAGCGGAAATGGAAGAAAACTAGACTCCCTGCGGACCTGGCATCTTTTCACTCCCTCCTCTCTACATTTTCTTCATCTGTTTCTGCTGCTAAGGCCACTCTCTATCACTCTAAATTCCAAGCATCTGCCTCTAACCCTAGGAAGCTCTTTGCCACATTCTCCTCCCTGCTGAACCCCCCCCCCCCCCCCCCTCCCTCTCTGTGGATGATTTCGTCAACCATTTTGAAAAGGAGGTTGACAACATCCGATGCTCGTTTGTTAAGTCAAATGACACTGCTGGTCCTGCTCACACTGCCCTACCCTATGCTTTGACTTATTTCTTCCCTCTCTCTCCAGATAAAATCTTGTGACTTGTGATGGCAGGCCGCCCAACAACCTGCCCGCTTGACCCTATCCCCTCCTCTCTTCTCCAGACCATCTCTGGTGACCTTCTCCCTTACCTCACCTCGCTGATCAACTCATCCTTGACCACTGGCTATGTCCCTTCCGTCTTCAAGAGAGCGAGAGTTGCACCCCTTCTCAAAAAACCAACACTCGACCCCTCTGATGTCAACAACTACAGACCAGTATCCCTTCTTTCTTTTCTCTCCAAAACTATTGAGCGTGCCGTCTTTAGCCAACTCTCTTGCTATCTCTCTCAGAATGACCTTCTTGATCCAAACCAGTCAGGTTTCAAGACTGGTCATTCAACTGAGACTGCTCTTCTCTGTGTCACGGAGGCTCTCCGCACTGCTAAAGCTAACTCTCTCTCCTCTGCTCTTGTCCTTCTAGACCTGTCTGCTGCCTTTGATACTGTGAACCATCAGATCCTCCTCTCCACCCTCTCCGAGCTGGGCATCTCCGGTGCGGCTCACTCTTGGATTGCGTCCTACCTGACCGGTCGCTCCTACCAAGTGGCGTGGCGAGAAGCTGTCTCCGCACCACGTGCTCTCACCACTGGTGTCCCCCAGGGCTCAGTTCTAGGCCCTCTCCTATTCTCGCTATACACCAAGTCACTTGGCTCTGTCATATCCTCACATGGCCTCTCCTATCATTGCTACGCAGACGACACACAACTAATCTTCTCCTTTCCCCCTTCTGATAACCAGGTGGCGAATCGCATCTCTGCATGTCTGGCAGACATATCAGTGTGGATGACGGATCACCACCTCAAGCTGAACCTTGGCAAGACGGAGCTGCTCTTCCTCCCGGGGAAGGACTGCCTGTTCCATGATCTCGCCATCACGGTTGACAACTCCGTTGTGTCCTCCTCCCAGAGTGCGAAGAGCCTTGGCGTGACCCTGGACAACACCCTGTCATTCTCCGCTAACATCAAGGCGGTGACCCGATCCTGTAGGTTCATGCTCTACAACATTCGGAGAGTACGACCCTGCCTTACACAGGAAGCGGCACAGGTCCTAATCCAGGCACTTGTCATCTCCCGTCTGGATTACTGCAACTCGCTGTTGGCTGGGCTCCCTGCCTGTGCCATTAAACCCCTACAACTCATCCAGAATGCCGCAGCCCGTCTGGTGTTCAACCTTCCCAAGTTCTCTCACGTCACCCCGCTCCTCCGCACACTCCACTGGCTTCCAGTTGAAGCTCGCATCTGCTACAAGACCATGGTGCTTGCCTACGGAGCTGTGGGGGGAACGGCACCTCCGTACCTTCAGGCTCTGATCAGTCCCTACACCCAAACGAGGGCATTGCGTTCATCCACCTCTGGCCTGCTGGCTCCCCTACCTCTGCGGAAGCATAGTTCCCGCTCAGCCCAGTCAAAACTGTTCGCTGCTCTGGCACCCCAATGGTGGAACAAGCTCCCTCACGACGCCAGGACAGCGGAGTCACTCACCACCTTCCGGAGACATTTGAAACCCCACCTCTTTAATGAATACCTGGGATAGGATAAAGTAATCCTTCTACCCCCCCTTACCCCAACCCCCCCCCCCCAAAAAAAATAAATAAATAAATAAATAATATATATGAACATTGTAAAGTGGTTATCCCACTGGCTATAAGGTGAATGCACCAATTTGTAAGTCGCTCTGGATAAGAGCGTCTGCTAAATGACGTAAATGTAAATGTAAATGTAAATGTAAATCAAACGATACAAACCCCCAAAAAATCTATTTTAATTCCAGGTTGTAAGGCAACAAAATAGGAAAAATGCCAATGGGGGTGAATACTTTCGCAAGCCACTGTAGATGGAAAGAGGATTTCAATGGATGTAAATAAAATGCTCTTTATGAAGGTCATAATAATGCTTTCTAATGACACAATTATTAATGAAAAATAGACAATGAATGTATAGCCGGGTAGTAAACTATCACATTAGACTGAATCCAACAAAGCTCACGGTCATGGTGGTGCAGTTTCTGTGTAATTTGGCGTAGGAAATCACATAGGTATAATGATCAAAGAAATAGAATAGTCTCAAGGATATCTGCCTTTACAACAGGACCAGACCTTACTAGCAGCTATGATCAATACTTCAATTAATATTACTGAACTGGAGCTATATTGAACAAATGGCTGTACTATGAATCCTATCAATATCAACAAAATGTTGTGATGCTAATGAAGGGTACATAACAGACAGGTGTGATGACTTCTCTCTTGGGGTCTGGAGAGGGGATCCACTACTGAGGAATTACAGGGGGCTATTTTCAAATGCTTTTTACTCCAAAGTGCAAACTGGCATTTGTATTCCTTTTAATAATAGATGTAGTATTTTCCATGACTATTATGCCCTTCGTATTGTTTATGTTTGGTCACTCTGTACTTGAAAGATGAAAGTAACCCCCCTCACTCTCTCTAAGTAATGTTTTTATGAATCACATTTAGATGTGGTTCGATAGAACACAAAATTAGGACGATAGCTACACCTGCGGATGAAACAGAGGATAGGACGTCTGCTACGGGCAGTAAGGTAGCCCCCAGAAGCATAGGTAGACAGAACAGGCCTATGGAGAAAACAAAAAAGGCACAAACAAAGATGCATATCCCTGTCTCTTATAGGGGGATATTTGGGAGAGCCATTGGTGCAGTTCATTTGGGAGTAAGAAGCATTGGAGCTTCAGTGTAAGTAGGTATGGAGTAGGGTGGGAGAAGAGGTGGTGTGTAGGTGTGTTGGCATAAAAAGGGCACAAGGGTACTGAAAGAGTGATGGAAGTCCATAAAGTTACAGAAAATCTGGAAGTAGTAGGTACAGTGCCTTCCACGTTTTGTTGCGTTACAGACTTATTCTAAAATGGATTAAATAAATAAAAGTCCTTAGCAATCTACACACAATACCCCATAATTACATTTTTTTAGCAAATGTATTAAAAATAAAAAACAGAAATACCTTATTTACATAAGTATTCAGAGCCTTTTCCATGAGACTCGAAATTGAGCTCAGGTGCATCCCGTTTCCATTGATCATCCTTGAGATGTTTCTGCAACTTGATTGGAGTCCACCTGTGGTAAATTCAATTGATTGGACATGATTTGGAAAGGAACAAACCCGTTTATATAAGGTCCCACAGTCGACAGTGCATGTCGGAGCAAAATCAAGCCATGAGGTCAAAGGAATTGTCCGTAGAGCTCCGAGACAGGATTGTGTCGAGGCACAGATCTGGGGAAGGGTACCAAAACATTTCTGCAGCATTGAATGTCCCCAAGAACACAGTGGCCTCCATCATTCTTAAATGGAAGAAGTTTGGAACCACCAAGACTCTTCCTAGAGCTGGCCGCCCGGCCAAAGTGAGCAATCGGCGGAGAAGGGCCTTGGTCAGGGAGGTGATCAAGAACCTGATGGTCACTCTGACAGAGCTCCAGAGTTCCTCTATGGAGATTGGAGAACCTTCCAGAAGGACAACAATCTCTGGAGCACTCCACCAATCAGGCCTTTATGATAGAGTGGCCAGACAGAAGCCTCTCCTTAGTATAAGGCACATGACCACCCGCTTGGAGTTTGCCGAAAGCACCTAAAGGACTCTCAGGCCACGAGAAACAAGATTCTCTGGTCTGATGAAACCAAGATTGAAGTCTTTGGCCTGAATGCCAAGCGTCATGTCTGGAGGAAACCGGGAACCATCCCTAAGGTGAAGCATGGTGGTGGCAGCATCTTGCTGTAGGGATGTTTTTCAGCGGCAGGGACTGGGAGACTAGTCAGGATCGAGAAAAGATGAACGGAGCAAAGTACAGAGAGATCCTTGATGAAAACCTGCTCCAGAATGTCCTTGAGTGGCCCAGCCAGAGCCCGGACTTGAACCCGATCGAGCATCTCTGGAGAGACCTGAAAATAGCTGTGCAGCGACGCTCCTCATCCAACCTGACAGAGCTTGACAGGATCTATGGGAGAACTCCCCAAATACAGGTGTGCCAAGCTTGTAGCATCATACCCAAGTAGACTCGAGGCTGTAGTCGCTGCCAAAGGTGCTTCAACAAAGTGCTGATTAAAGGGTCTGAATACCTATGTAAATGTCATATTTCCGTTTTTTATTTTTGATAATTTAGCAAATATGTCTAAAAACCTGTTTTTGCATTATGAGGTATGGTGTGTAGATTGATGAGGGGAAAAAAAGATTTTAATCCATTTTAGAATAAGGCTGTAACGTAACAAAATGTGGAAAAAGTAAAGGGTTCTGAATATTTTCTGAATGCACTGTATATACACTACCAGTCAAACGTTTGGACACACCTACTCATTCAAGGGTTTTTCTTTATTTTTACTATTTTTTACATAGTAGAATAATAGTGAAGACATCAAAACTATGAAATAACACATGGAATCATGTAGTAACCAAAAAAGTGTTAAACAAATCAAAATATATTTTATATTTGAGATTCTTAAAATAGCCACCCTTTGCCTTGATGACAGCTTTGCAAACTCTTGGCATTCTCTCAACCAGCTTCATGAGGTAGTCATCTGGAATGCATTTCAATTAACAGGTGTGCCTTCTTAAAAGTTAATTTGTCTAATTTATTTCCTTCTTAATGCGTTTGAGCCAATCAGTTGTGTTGTGACAAGGTAGGGGGGGTATCCAGAAGATAGCCCTATTTGGTAAAAGACCAAGTCCTTATTTTGGCAAGAACAGCTCAAATAAGCAAAGAGAAACGACAGTCCATCATTACTTTAAGACATGAAGGTCAGTCAATGCGGAACATTTCAAGAACTTTGAACGTTTCTTCAAGTGCGGTTCCAAAAACAACATAAAGCGCTATGATGAAACTGGCTCTCATGAGGACCGCCACAGGAACAGAAGACCCAGAGTTACCTCTGCTGCAGAGGATAAGTTCATTAGAATTACCAGCCTCAGAAATTCGAGCCCAAATAAATGCTTCACAGAGTTCAAGTCACATACACATCTCAACATCAACTGTTCAGAGGGAACTGTGTGAATGCTCGAATTGCTGCAAAGAAACCACTACTAAAGGACACCAATAATAAGAAGAGACCTGCTTGGGACAAGAAACACGAGCAATAGACATTAGACCGGTGGAAATGTGTCCTTTGGTCTGGAGTCCAAATTTGAGATTTTTGGTTCCAACCGCCGTGTCTTTGTGAGACACGGTGTGGGTGAATGGATGATCTCTGCATCTGTAGTTCCCACCGTAAAGCATGGAGGAGGAGGTGTTATGGTGTGGGGGTGCTTTGCCGGTGACACTGTCTGTGATTTATTTAGAATTCAAGGCACACTTAACCAGCATGGCTACCACAGCATTCTGCAGTGATACGCCATCCCATCTGGTTTGGGCTTAGTGGGACTATCATTTGTTTTTCAACAAGACAATGACCCAACACACCTCCAGGCTGTGTAAGAGCTATTTTTACCAAGAAGGAGAGTGATGGAGTGCTGCATCAGATGACCTGGCCTCCACAATCCCCCGACCTCAGCCCAATTGAGATGGTTTGGGATGAGTCAGACGGCAGAGTGAAGGAAAAGCAGCCAACAAGTGCTCAGCATATTTGGGAACTCCTTCAAGACTGTTGGAAAAGCATTCCAGGTGAAGCTGGTTGAGAGAATGCCAAGAGTGTGCAAAGCTGTCATCAAGGCAAAGGGTGGCTATTTGAAGTATAAATAAAAAAATTAAATATCTTTTGATTTGTTTAACACTTTTTTGGTTACTACATGATTCCATTTGTGTTATTTCATAGTTTTAATGTCTTCACTATTATTCTACAATGTAGAAAATAGTAAAAATAAAGAAAAACCTTTGAATGAGCAAGGTACTGTATATACACTACCGTTCAAAAGTTTGGGGTCACTTAGAAATGTCCTTGTTTTCCATGAAAACATACATTAAATGAGTTTGAATAGGAAATATAGTAAATTGCATAGGAAATGTAGTCATTGACAAGGTTAGAAAAAAATATTTTTAAAAGAAATAATAATTGTGTCCTTCAAACTTTGCTTTTGTCAAATAATCCTCATTTGCAGCAATTACAGCCTTGCAGACCTTTGGCATTCTAGTTATCAATTTGTTGAGGTAATCTGAAGAGATTTCACCCCATGCTTCCTTAAGCACCTCCCACAAGTTGGATTGGCTTGATGGGCACTTCTTATGTACCATATGGTCAAGCTGCTCCCACAACAGCTCAATAGGGTTGAGATCCGGTGACTGTGCTGGCCACTCCATTATAGACAGAATACCAGCTGACTGCTTCTTCCCTAAATAGTTATTGCATAGTTTGGAGCTGTGCTTTGGGTCATTGTGGCGGCAGGTAGCTTAGTGGTTAAGAGTGTTGTGCCAGTAACCGAAAGGTCCCTGGTTCTAATCCCCGAGCCGACTAGGTGAAAAATCTGTCGATGTGCCCTTGAGCAAGGCACTTAACCCTAATTGCTCCTGTAAGTCGCTCTGGATAAGAGCGTCTGCTAAATGACTAAAATGTAAAATTGTGCTGTTGTAGGAGGAAATAGGCTCCAATCAAGTGCCATCCACAGGGAATGGCATGGCGTTGCAAAATGGAGTGATAGCCTTCCTTCTTCAAGATCCCTTTCACCCTGTACAAATCTCCCACTTTACCACCACCAATGCAACCCCAGACCATCGCATTGCCTCCACCATGCTTGACAGATTGCATCAAGCATTCCTCCAGCATCTTTTCATTTGGTCTGCGTCTCACAAATGTTCTTCTTTGTGATCCGAACACCTCAAACTTCGATTCGTCTGTCCATAACACTTTTTTCCAATCTTCCTCTGTCCAGTGTCTGTGTTCTTTTGCCCATCTTAATCTTTTATTTTTATTGGCCAGTCTGAGATATGGCTTTTTCTTTACAACTCTTCCTAGAAGGTCAGCATCCCGGAGTCGCCTCTTCACTGTTGACGTTGAGACTGGTGTTTTGCGGGTACTATTTAATGAAGCTGCCAGTTGAGGACCTGTGAGGCACCTGTTTCTCAAACTAGACACTCTAATGTATTTTTCCTCTTGCTCAGTTGTGCACCGGGGCCTCCCACTCCTCTTTCTATTCTGGTTAGAGCCAGTTTGCGCTGTTCTGTGAAGGGAGTAGTACACAGCGTTGTACGAGATCTTCAGTTTCTTGGCAATTTCTCGCATGGAATAGCCTTCATTTCTCAGAACAAGAATAGACTGACGAGTTTCAGAAAAAAGTTCTTTGTTTCTGGCCATTTTGATTCTGTAATCGAACCCACAATTGCTGATGCTCCAGATACTCAACTACTCTCAAGAAGGCCAGTTGTATTGCTTCTTTAATCAGCACAACAGTTTTCAGCTGTGCTAACATAATTGCAAAAGGGTTTTCTAATGATCAATTAGCCTTTTAAAATGATAAACTTGGATTAGCAAACACAACGTGCCATTGGAACACAGGACTGATGGTTGCTGATAATGGGCCTATGTACACCTATGTAGATATTCCATAAAAAATCAGCTGTTTCCAGCTGCAATAGCCATTTACAACATTAACCATGTCTACACTGTATTTCTGATCAATTTGATGTTATTTTAATGGACAAAAAAAGTGATTTTCTTTCGAAAACAAGGACATTTTTCTAAGTGACCCCAAACTTTTGAATGGTAGTATGATGTATATATTTTACAGTGCAGTTTATGGGCAATTTGATATGACAGTTGTTTACAATTAGGCTAAATGTCCTGTGAAAATATACAAATATAAATAATGACTCAAGAGCCATAAGAGTCTAGTTAATACAAATGACTGGATGCTGTAATATATCTCTGCTATATGTCATACTACTGTACGACATGTATTAACTTTAATATTGTTTTCTGTCTTTAGTTAAAGTTAAAACATAACTTTTGGCCCTTCAGTGAGCTGTCTGAACATTAATAGTCTATGCAGAAATATAACAATTTTGTGCAGAAACAGTGCCTTCAGAAAGTATTCACACCCCTTGACTTTTTCAAAATTTTGTTTAAAATGGATTACATTTATATTTTGTATCACTGGCCTACACACAATACCCCATAATGTCAAAGTGGAATTCTATTTTTTAAATATTTTTACAAATTAATTTAAAATGAAAAGCTGAAATGTCTTGAGTCAATAAGTATTCAACCCTTTTGTTATGGCAAGCCTGAATAAGTCCAGCAGTAAACATTTGCTTAACAAGTCACATAATAAGTTAAATAGACTCACTATGTGTGCAATAATAGTTTTTAACATAATTTTTGAATGACTACCTCATCTCTGTACCCTACACATACAATTATCTGTAAGGTCCCTCAGTCGAGCAGTGAATTTCGAACACAGATTCAACCACAAAGACCAGGGAGGTTTTCCAATGCCTCACAAAGAAGGGCACGTATTGGTAGATACAAAAAAATATTTTAAAAAGTCATTAAATACCCCTTTGAGCATGGTGAACTTATTAATTGCACTTTGGATGGTGTATCAATACACCCAGTCAATACAAATATACAGGCGTCCTTCCTAACTCAGTTGCCGGACAGGAAAGAAACAGCTCAAGGATTTCACCATGAGGCCAGTGGTGACTTTAAAACAGTTAAAGAGTATAATGGCTGTGATAAGAGAAAACTGAGGATGGATTAACGACGTTGCAGTTACTCCAAAATACTAACCTAAATGACATAGTGAAAAGAAGGAAGCCTGTACAGAATAAAAATATTCTAAAACATTATTTCTGTTTACAATAAGGCATTAAAGTTAAACTGCAAAAAATGTGGCAAAGAAATTAACTTAATGTCCTGAATACAAAGCGTTATGTTTTGGGCAAATCCAACAAAACAGATCACTGAGTACCACTCTTATATCATATTTTCAAGCATGGTGGTGGCTGCATCATGTATTGGGTATGCTTGTCATCGGCAAGGACTCTGGAGTTTTTTAGGATAAGAAGAAACGGAATAGAGCTAAGCACAGGCAAAATCCGAGAGTACTGCTTTCCAACACACTGTGAGACAAAATCACCTTTCAGCAGGACAATAACCAAAAACACAAGGCCAAATGTACACTGGAGTGTCTTCCCAAGACGACATTGAATGTTCTTGAGTGGCCTAGTTACAGTTTTGACTTAAATCGGCTTGAAGATCTATGGCAAGACTTGGAAATGGCTGTCGAACAATGATCAACATCCAACTTGACAGAGCTTGAATAATTTTTTAAAGAATAATGTGCAAAAATGTGTACAATCCAGGTGTGCAAAGCTCTTAGAGACTTACCCGGAAAGACACAGCTGTAATCGCTGCCAAAGGTGATTCAACCATCTATTGACTCAGGGGGTTGAATACTTATCTAATCAAGATATATACATTGTTTTAATTTTTTATTGTTTTTTATTTTACAAATGTTAGAATTGTTCTTCCATTTTGACATTACAGTATTTTGTGTAGATTGTTGTCAGAAAATTACAATTAAATCCATTTTAATCCCACTTTGTAACATAACAAAATATGGTATAGTGTGAATACTTTCTGAAGGCACAGTAACTGCCACCACATAACATTCATGGCACTGCAACACATATTAAGTTTGAGGCCCGGCGTTCATACAGTTCTTACTAAAGATACAGTAGAAGACCAGCTTCATTCTTGGCCTGTAGAGCACCACTGATCTCCTTCTGGGTTTACTGACATGATCTGTGTTTATGAATGAGAGAATGATACTGTACCTTTGCCATCTACCTCTCCTGGACGTGGGTCCCGTGTTGTATCTGTAAACTCACATTCAGTGAGCATAAATGTAACATCCATCTTATTCTGTGAGCATACATGTCATAAATTATACAGAATGATATCAATAACCTCAACCAATGATGAGCATTCAAAGATATTCCAGACAACCCTAACTGTATGCCGTTTATTTTGTGCTCAGTGGTCTTTCTCATGATCCAGTCGATAGCTATCAAGAAGTGAAATGGTGACGGTGGATATCCCTGTCTCGCACCAATCAGCACAGCCATAACTAAACTGTTATAAAATTGTTTGAATATGAGTGGTATACAGAAATATCACACCCCAAGTACTATGATAAACGGCCTTTGATAAGGCTGAGAAAGCGGGGATAGATACTACTGCCCTACTGCTGGAAACTACATGTTGGGTGACACAATACGTACGTGACACGCTGAAGCCGAAAACTCCCTTGTAGTCCTTCAGCAGCTTCTTCAGCAGAGTGCTCTTCCCTGCCCCTGAGGGGCCGCTTATGACAACAGGCCTAGGTCCTGACATAATACTGACACAAAGGGAGAGAGGGATTGAATACAATGAAAGATACACTGAAAAAAACGTTCATACTGTGAAAAGCTATACTTTATATTGAATAATGAAAGCTTGTTCTCAATTGAACAAACTAATTTGTTATAGGAAATGTGTGGCTATGATATGCATAATAACAAATTCCTTCTTACGAATTGCATCGTTCTTTCTTGGTTGACTGAACTTTTGTAATTTCCTGTAGAGACAAACGTGAGAAAATTATGTGAGACCACTACCGACTGACTCAAATTTTGAGAATTCTACTTTGTCCCTTTTCTACATGCAGACAATCATCCTCTCTTCAGACTCACCTCAATGAGAACACTTTGCAACTTCTCATAAGCCTCCTCTAAGTCATCATTGACAATAAGCATGTCAAACACTCCAGGCTCGTTGCCTAAAATAGGAAAGTGATAAAATAATTATGAAAGCACTCAAGTCATTGTTAAAGGCATAGAATGGATTATTATTGGTTCCATCCATATTTTCCAAAGATTTGCAGTACAACTATGTCTATATGGGACAGTAAGGGGGACCTACTGAGCTCCATGTCAACACGTGCTGCCTCCAGACGCTTCTGCAGACTCTCCTCTGTCTCCGTATTTCTGTCCCTCAGTCGCTTTTCCTGTACACATCAATTGTCCCTAAAACTATTACAATATCTACATTTCAAGAGTCTCATGTCACTAGCTCAACGATGACATTTCCAAGGGGTAGCATATGTGACCTGTTTCAAGAAGCTAGGCGTATGTCGCACGTCACTACTTTGCAGAAGAGGCATTTCAACATTTAATGCCTTCTGGAACATGTGAACTTTCATGTGCTTTAATAACAAACGTGTATGCCATCTGTAAATACGAATACAATTGTTAAATTACGAGCCTAGTTGGTTTAGCCACTGAAAAAGACAAGAACCTTCCCACTAGCCATGATTGGTTGAGATAATGGATGGGCTGGACATGCCGAGAGATGAGTTCGGATTGGTCTACCATGTAGCACACTTCTGTCTATAACATGAGCTGCTCAGTATGTGTAGTAGATAATCCTGGCTACCACAGCTTTCTTGAAAGATATAATGTTAGCCATAGAGAACTGCAAAAGTGTTGCTACTGTTCTCAACAACATTGCTGCCCCGAATTTAGCAGACACTATCAACAAAGATCAGTGGGAAAAGGTTGCGATTGACTAACGTTACTTTCTTCACACGGTTGACCGGAGTGACTTGACACAACAACGGGCCAAACAAGCTATAGCTAGCTACAAACCAAATGGAAAATACACACTGTTGTGAAGCATTCATCCATGTATACGGGTAAGAGTCTAGCTACATTTTCAGATATTATACGATTCTAATTTTGTCAGAAAGTCATGTTCATTGCAAGTTAAAGCGTACTAGCGAATGTTAGCTTGCTGGCTCGCTAGCTAACGTTACGTGTATGATCTGTGTAGTAATATTATTTGTATCTCAGAAAACCATTTGCATGGCTAGTTATAGCCTAATTGGCATAGCTAGCTAGCTGACATTGAACCTAGTTGGTTAGCTTTAGCTACCTGCATATTCATACTCAAGCATTTCATGGATGGTAGCTAGCTATGCCAAATCCGTTTGTACTGTAGCTATGGGTTGGGATTATGGTTCATTGTTTAGCTAGCTAGCTACATGTCTAAACAAAAGACTTCACTTTACAAGAGAATGATTACATGACCCATCAAGTTAGCCAGGTGTGTCTGGGGGGTGATTACGGCCATCTATTGTATTTAATGAATATGTGTACATGTGTAGACAATAGTGACCCATCCACTTTTAGTCTTGAAATCTTTGGTTGTTTGCCTTAAAGAGATGGGTGGGGCTAAGGCTTAAGAGGGTGTGAACGATGCTGAATAGGTGTAGACAAAGAAGAGCTCTCCAGTAGGTGTACCAAAACATTCAAGGGCCATTTTCTCAAAAGTGGGGTTACAAGTTTATCAACTTTCAAAGCAGAATTACTTTCCCATTAAACCTCAACTGCAGTGTATGATATACCATTTTGTAGCTTTGTGTCTCTACTTTTATCCAATAATAGCTGTCCAAGCACAGAACATTGAGGAACGCCAAAATACACAGTAGAACCCTTTGCGATGTATGATTGTGGACTTGTTGCAGAGTTTACAGTTACACAGCCATGATAGTCTGTATTCCATTGTGACATATGTCTACACCTCAATAAGAGTATATCAAAAGAGGTTCGTAAATGTCTCATAATGGGCCATACTGACTATTGCGGCACTGAACTCTGAATTTGGCATTACCAGGATCTCCATAGAGGGGGGCTGGATAGAGACATAGATAGGGTCCAGGTCAGTCTGCTTGATGTTCCTCACTCCCTGGATGTCCACATCCAGAATGCAGATGAGGCCATTGGCCCGCACTTCGTCTACAGAATACTTGCTATGTAGAAAACAGAAAATATAAGTTATGTTCATTCATTGTTTCACAATTCCCTTGAACAGCAGAAACAAGAACATATGCATCTTTCCACCTGGATATGCACAGTAGGCTTACATACTTCTCTGTGTAGCCCATGCGTGCCCACACGGAAAAGTATGTCTGGGGTCGCACAAAATGTAATATAATGTTGTGGATAAAGTTTGGAATGACACAATTTCATGCGTAAAACATACTGAGAGCATTGACGTTTCTAAAAGGACGTATAAAAAAAAAAATGTATCGCAGGTTGGGGTACATTTCTCAAAACCAATTTGGTTAAAAAAGTGAACTTCTCCTTTAAAGATATCTATACAATGCCATGACAGAAGAATCACTTGTAGGTTCTAGTCACTAGTGGAACAATTACTGTACTTGTTCATTTAAAACCCAATGAACTAGCATACTTTTCCAAAACTGCAGTAACATTCCCCACATTCCCCGGTATTTTCTTTATAAATAAGACATTTTGATGTCAACAGCAAGTTATCAAAATGTACTCTACCTTGTTCCATACAGGTTTCCTGAAAACTCAGCATTCTCAATGTATTTCCCATCGTCAATATCCTCCTGCATAGCCTCCCTGTTTGAGAAGTGGTAATCTTCAAATAGACCGGAGAGGAGAATAATCAGTTAATTGTCAATCAGGCTTGAAACCAGCATTTAAATTACAAAATCAGAAGTTAAAACCAGAAGTTACAAAGCCTGAAGAGCATCACTGATATCCATCTGGGATTACTAACATGACTGACATGGGTTTACTGACATGATCTGTGTTTATGAGTGAGAGAATGTTACTGTACCTTTGCCATCTACCTCTCCTGGACGTGGGCTCCTTGTTGTATCTGTAAGGAACACATTCAATGAGCATCATCATCCATCATCAACATCCAATCATACAGAATGCTATCAACAACCTTAACCTCTCAATGATGTGCATTCAAAGACATGCCATACAACCCTAACTGTATGCCGTTTATTTTGTTTTCAGTGGTCTTCCTTGCAGCCAGCAAGAAGAGGAATGGAGATAGAGGACATCCCTGTGTCACACCAATCAGCACAACCATAACTAAACTGGATATGGATGGTACAGTGAGGGAAAAAAGTATTTGATCCCCTGCTGATTTTGTACGTTTGCCCACTGACAAAGAAATGATCAGTCTATAATTTTAATGGTAGGTTTATTTGAACAGTGAGAGACAGACTAACAACAAAAAAATCCAGAAAAACGCATATACATTTTTTTATAAATTGATTTGCATTTTAACGAGGGAAATAAGTATTTGACCCCCTCTCAATCAGAAAGATTTCTGGCTCCCAGGTGTCTTTTATACAGGTAATGAGCTGAGATTAGGAGCACACTCTTAAAGGGAGTTCTCCTAATCTCAGTTTGTTACCTGTATAAAAGACACCTGTCCACAGAAGCAATCAATCAATCAGATTCCAAATTCTCCACCATGGCCAAGACCAAAGAGCTCTCCAAGGATGTCAGGGACAAGATTGTAGACCTACACAAGGCTGGAATGGGCTACAAGACCATCGCCAAGCAGCTTGGTGAGAAGATGACAACAGTTGGTGCGATTATTCGCAAATGGAAGAAACACAAAATAACTGTCAATCTCCCTCGGCCTGGGGCGCCATGCAAGATCTCACCTCGTGGAGTTGCAATGATCATGAGAACGGTGAGGAATCAGCACAGAACTACACGGGAGGATCTTGTCAATGATCTCAAGGCAGCTGGGACCATAGTCACCAAGAAAACAATTGGTAACACACTACGCCGTGAAGGACTGAAATCCTGCAGCCCCCGCAAGGTCCCCCTGCTCAAGAAAGCACATATACATGCCCGTCTGAAGTTTGCCAATGAACATCTGAATGATTCAGAGGAGAACTGGGTGAAAGTGTTGTGGTCAGATGAGACCAAAATGGAACTCTTTGGCATCAACTCAACTCGCCATGTTTGGAGGAGGAGGAATGCTGCCTATGACCCTAAGAACACCATCCCCTCCGTCAAACATGGAGGTGGAAACATTATGCTTTGGGGGTGTTTTTCTGCTACGGGGACAGGACAACTTCACCACATGAAAGGGACAATGGACAGGGCCATGTACCATCAAATCTTGGGTGAGAACCTCCTTCCCTCAGCCAGGGCATTGAAAATGGGTCGTGAATGGGTATTCCAGCATGACAACGACCCAAAACACATTGCCAAGGCAACAAAGGAGTGGCTCAAGAAGAAGCACATTAATGTCCTGGAGTGGCCTAGCCAGTCTCCAGACCTTAATCCCATAGAAAATCTGTGGAGGGAGCTGAAGGTTCGAGTTGCCATACGTCAGCCTCGAAACCTTAATGACTTGGAGAAGATCTGCAAAGAGGAGTGGGACAAAATCCCTCCTGAGATGTGTACAATCCTGGTGGCCAACTACAAGAAACGTCTGACCTCTGTGATTGCCAACAAGGGTTTTGCCACCAAGTACTAAGTCATGTTTTGCATTTAATGAGTCATTTCCCTCATTAAAATGCAAATCAATTTATAACATTTTTGACATGCATTTTTCTGGATTTGTTTGTTGTTATTCTGTCTCTCACTGTTCAAATAAACCTACCAGTAAAATTATAGAATGATCATTTCTTTGTCAGTGGGCAAATGCACAAAATCAGCAGGGGATCAAATACTTTTTTCCCTCACTGTATATAGAAATATCCCACCCAAGTCCAATGACAAACGGCCTTATGCTTGGATACAAATTGGATACACTAACCCAGACCAAAATCCTATGACAAACTTGGCCTAGAGGTGGATAAGCCTGAGACAGTAAGGATAGATAGGGCCTACTGCTGTCCCACTTCCTCCCAGACAGGATATTGGGATGGGAGTCAAATGGCAGGTGAAACACAAACGTACGTGACACGCTGAAGCCAAAGACTCCGTCGTAATCCCTCAGCAGCATCTTCATAAGAGTGCTCTTCCCTGCCCCCGAGGGGCCGCTCAGAACAACCGGCCTGGGTCCTTGCATAACACTGGTGGAGAGGAAGAGAGGAAATACAAAGAAAGATACGGTGAAAAACCCTTTCGTACTGTAAAAGTATGTACATTTAGATTTTGTAGATTTAGCTATGCTTTGCTACACAAATAATCTTAAACTAATTTAATTGAGCTACACAATCCATTTTAGACACTTTAACGAAACCAAAGCATGGTTTGTTGTCTCTCTTTGTCCAAAGACTGCTTATAGGGTAGTCGAAGTCTGTGCACGGTTGTGTGACAATAGTGACCATCTATGTAAAGTAGCGAAGACTGGTGTAGCCTTTCACTATTCAGTAGCCTACCACTGTCTAGCCTGCCACTACCACAACCAGATACAGATATACCAAACAAAAGGGACTGAAGCACTCTCAATACTTTTTCTGTAACCTTCAAAATAACCCTCTCTTGGCATGATTAAGTCAGGCCCTGTCTAACTCCACTCATAGGAGCCAATCTGCGTAGAGTGCTTGGAAGCTAACCAGCTAGCGAGCCTATAGCTGAGCAGTTCTTCCTCTGGCCTTAGGCTCAGATGCTAACGCTAATCCACTGATCCAGGGAATTAGCCACCCTGATTTAATGGCTACGCCACGATCAGACATGGGGGGACAGCCATGTGACTGCACATTAGGACCACACAAGGACCACACAGAGAGTGTCAAGAGGTTAAAGGGTTAAACACGAAACCCACAAAAACATTAAGAGAAATTGCATTTTATACCCCTGAGAGTTTAATCTAGCTAGGTGGTCATAATCACTACTTTCATTTAGATAATGCATGTGCAGCTATTCCAGTAACACTCTGTCAGCCCTATGGGAATTATGCAATTCTTCCAAGAAACCAACATTAGGTTCACAGCAAATTCATCACATCAGCAAAAGCCCAACTTAACATTATACAAATGGGTAGAAATGCGATTTGATGGAGCAGGTTGGATGATAGTGGGATTAGGCCTATATTTCACCATCCAGTACAAACAGATGCCATGCTCTCAAGGTGCATTTAAAAATGCTGTTTAATGAAGTCAATCCAGGTCAATGAGGATGATTCATAGGAACTGGTCCAAATGGAACATTAGGTACAGAGCTGGGTCAACACCCTACAGAATATCTGCCTGCAGAAAGGCATATTGGTTTGTCTATTGTGACTCGGACAATAAGGATATTCCCAGATGTACACCATGTTCAAATAGGTGCATTTCAAGTCAGTCAGTAGTGGTGGCAAAACATTGGAGGTAATGTCTGAAGCTCTTCATCCTATTGGTGATAGGATGTTCTTGCTGACGTTAGACTCATCAGCCAATCTGACCTATTTCGAGTCCTGTTTGACTCTATACCAATGAGGTCGTGACCATTCAAGGATGTTTCCTGGGAAAACACACTCAAGGCTGTCAAACTCTTTACTTATTTAATTGGAGTGTATACCAGACTCCACTCTAAGAGATCCATAGATCCTTGAACCATCACAACCCAGATTGCTGTCTGCTGACCTTAGTTGGGCATTTCATGGAAAACAACAGACCAGACTGGCCATGCAGTTACTGGCCATAATTGAATAAATTAGTTAACGGTCTATTGCCTACCCCTCAAGAGGACTCAACTTCACAAAGACAACATACTATAGCTGTTACTTCATTTAGGTACCTGATATTATATCTAATCATTGTATAACCTTTTCAAATATACGTTGTCAATATTTCGGTGGCATCCTACTAACGCATACAATTTATATCTCCAAGCACGGCAACAAAATAACATTCAAGGACTGTACCAATTTAACAGATTTGTATAAATTGCTACACACTTGTTAATGATTTCCAAATGTCGATGTGGAGTCCATAAACAGTAGTTAGTTGTACAGTACAGTAAGTCATTGCCAGGTTACATTGACTACTGAAGACAGACCTCAGTTTCAACTTGATGTGCTGTATAATAGCTATGTCCTACTGTATATTAGCTATGTCTTTCTTACATCTTTAAAGTTGTATATTTGTCTTACCTTATCTCAGTGGCTGTACTGTGTGGCTGTAGAGAAGATGTCTCGGCGTGATTGGGATGGAGGAGACCGCTTGACCTGGGTGTGTGTTAGTGAGTTGTTGGTAGGTGTGTGTGTCACACTGATCGACAGAGACAGCTTACTGCCAGCATCAATTACCACCTCCTCCCATCAGCCAATCGCATGCTGGCATGCTGGCGTGCTGGCGTTGCTTATCTGTGCCGTCCAAACAGGTAGCGGCTTAATTACTTCAGGTCATGTGACAGGACTGGCTCTGTTGGCTTCTCAGGTCCATTTTTCTGATTTGTCACAATGTATCACTGGTCTAGCATGTTGTCATCCTCAGCTCTTGGCTACTAAACCCTGTTTAATGATAAACCTCTTAATGAAGGAGGAAATGTGATTAAGGGGAACAAAAGGCCACACCATCATCCACTTTAGTATCCACAGACACAGTCAAGAGGTATAGACCTTGTTTGATCTAGTAGATTTGCAGTCCGTAAGTGAGAGGTGGCTGTCCTGGCATGGTTGGTGTTACATTTGACATTGGTCTCACATAGAGGATGGGTCCAGATTAGGGCTGTGGCAGTCTTTCAATTTTGTCAGCCCGGTGATTTTCAAGCAAATAACAGCTGGTCTCACCGTAATTGACCGTTAATTAACATAAACACATTTAGCATCTCTTGGCTTCCACGCATAGCCTGCAAGCCACTGATGCAGACCTTTGGAACATCTACATTTAAAAAAGTCTAATAAATCCATATAATATAGCCTACACCATCACAATAAATCCATTATTTATTTTAGACTGGTCTAAAGATATGAAGAAAATGTAGTCTACTTCAGAAGAACAGAATAGCACACTGAGTTGTCCTTATGTTAAATCAAATCAAATAAAATTGTATTTGTCACATGCGCCGAATACAATAGGTGTAGACTTTACTGTAAAATGCTTACTTACAAGCCCTTAACCAACAATGCAGTTTTAAGAAGAATAAGAGTTTACTAAATAAACTAAAGTAAAAAATAAGAGCAACAACAAAATAACAATAACGAGGCTATATACTGGGGGTACCGGTACTGAGTCAATGACACGCCCTGACCTTAGAGATCACCTGTATTCTCTGTTTGGTTAGGTCAGGGTGTGATTTGGATACATTCTAGTGTATCTATTTCTATGTTGGCCGGGTGTGGTTCCCAATCAGAGGCAGCTGTCGATCGTTGTCTCTGATTGGGGATCATACTTAGGCAGCCATTTTGCCTACCTATGTTGTGGGATCTGGTTTCTGTTTGGCTTGTTGGATGTTTAGCCTCTTGAACGTCACGTTCTGTTGGATTTTGTTATTTTATCTGTGTTTATAATAATAAACGACTATGTACGCATACCACGCTGCACCTTGATCCGATCCTTTATACAACGAACGTGACAGTCAATGTGGGGGGTACAGGTTAGTCGAGGTAATTGAGGTCATACAGTGGGGAGAACAAGTATTTGATACACTGCCGATTTTGCAGGTTTTCCTACTTACAAAGCATGTAGAGGTCTGTAATTATTATCATTGGTACACTTCAAAATCCAGAAAATCACATTGTATGATTTTTAAATAATTAATTTGCATTTTATTGCATGACATAAGTATTTGATACATCAGAAAAGCAGAACTTAATATTTGGTACAGAAACCTTTGTTTGCAATTACAGAGATCATACGTTTCCTGTAGTTCTTGACCAGGTTTGCACACACTGCAGCAGGGATTTTGGCCCACTCCTCCATACAGACCTTCTCCAGATCCTTCAGGTTTCGGGGCTGTCGCTGGGCAATACGGACTTTCAGCTCCCTCCAAAGATTTTCTATTGGGTTCAGGTCTGGAGACTGGCTAGGCCACTCCAGGACCTTGAGATGCTTCTTATGGAGCCACTCCTTAGTTGCCCTGGCTGTGTGTTTTGGGTCGTTGTCATGCTGGAAGACCCAGCCACGACCCATCTTCAATGTTCTTACTGAGGGAAGGAGGTTGTTGGCCAAGATCTCGCGATACATGGCCCCATCCATCCTCCCCTCAATATGGTGCAGTCGTCCTGTCCCCTTTGCAGAAAAGCATCCCCAAAGAATGATGTTTCCACCTCCATTCTTCACGGTTGGGATGGTGTTCTTGGGGTTGTACTCATCCTTCTTCTTCCTCCAAACACGGCGAGTGGAGTTTAGACCAAAAAGCTCTATTTTTGTCTCATCAGACTACATGACCTTCTCCCATTCCTCCTCTGGATCATCCAGATGGTCATTGGCAAACTTCAGACGGGCCTGGACATGCGCTGGCTTGAGCAGGGGGACCTTGCATGCGCTGCAGGATTTTAATCCATGACGGCATGGTGTGTTACTAATTATTTTCTTTGAGACTGTGGTCCCAGCTCTCTTCAGGTCATTGACCAGGTCCTGCCGTGTAGTTCTGGGCTGATCCCTCACCTTCCTCATGATCATTGATGCCCCACGAGGTGAGATCTTGCATGGAGTTCCAGACCGAGGGTGATTGACCGTCATCTTGAACTTCTTCCATTTTCTAATAATTGCGCCAACAGTTGTTGCCTTCTCACCAAGCTGCTTGCCTATTGTCCTTCAGCCCATCCCAGAAAATGGCTTGTGCAGGTCTACAATTTTATCCCTGATGTCCTTACACAGCTCTCTGGTCTTGGCCATTGTGGAGAGGTTGGAGTCTGTTTGATTGAGTGTGTGGACAGGAGTCTTTTATACAGGTAACGAGTTCAAACAGGTGCAGTTAACACAGGTAATGAGTGGAGAACAGGAGGGCTTCTTAAAGAAAAACTAACAGGTCTGTGGGAGCCGGAATTATTACTGGTTGGTAGGTGATCAAATCCTTATGTCATTCAATAAAATGAAAATTAATTATTAAAAAATCATACAATGTGATTTTCTTGATTTTTGTTTTAGATTCCGTCTCTCACAGTTGAAGTGTACCTATGATAGAAATTACAGACCACTACATGCTTTGTAAGTAGGAAAACCTGCAAAATCAGCAGTGTATCAAATACTTGTTCTCCCCACTGTATGTACATGTAGGTAGGGGTAAAGTGACTATGCATAGATAATAAACAGCGAGAAGCAGCAGTGTAAAAAAATAATAAAGGTGGGGGGGTGTCAATTCAAATAGTCTTGGTAGCCATTTGATTAGCTGTTCAGCAGTCTTATGGCTTGGTAGTGGAAGCTGTTAAGAAGCCTTTTGGACCTAGACTTGGTACTGTTAGGCCCTGATCTGGCTATGCCATATGACTGCAATAGTTCATTTAGCAGACAAGATTTGCTTAGAATTCCGTGGCATTATTTTATATTATTTTTAAGTATGAACAATACAATTGAACAAAGCTGAATAAAATACAAAGGATATTTTCTCCAAACGATTTGAGGGGGTGTGCACATGTGGCTATTCTGTGTTGAGCGGTTAACAAAGAAACAGGTCCTCCTATATGCTTAATTTAGAGTTATTTATGCAACTTTAGTTGTGATACAAACGTTGGGCTATTTGTTTAGATTTTTTATACATTCTAAGGCTGCATGATACGACTCTTATGATTATTAGAAAAAAGTTGCATGAAAGGCATGAGCTCTGCTTAGTTTTTTGCGCAAGCTGCACACACTTCATCAGTCTCTCATTCACAATTTGGCAAGCACTTGATAATGCGTCGAATTTCCCGGCAGCATCCCCTTTGCGTGACCGTGATGCCCCCTAAAAAAAATCCATGCCTTTTGCAGCCAGTGGCTGTTGTGCCCTTGGGCTGAATATAATAATTATAATTCCCTTCTCCCAACTACGTGCTCCGAAGCACCTCTCACTCACATGGCTCTCTCAGATATCTCAATTCTTATTAGCCAATGCCCGTCATGTGATCGGGTGATTCTCACAGGCTACGAGTGAAGACAGACATCGGGGATGCAACTGCGAATTCCGAAGATGTTGGAAGAACTGTCCACATTTACTTTCCGTCAGCCAACAAGATGAGTAGGCCTAACGAACAGCAAAAACACTAGCCTATGTCAATCTACTATCCCCCATTGTACAAAAGTTGACCTATTCTATTGGTCAACTTGTCCTACTGTGTGAGAAATAAATATTCTAAACATAGTCTATGACAGTTTGGGGATGTGATAGATCCCAAATGAATACAACCACTATCATTACTATTGTAAATCGGATTTATGTGCTTAATTATAAGAAGTTATTTGGCCACTTTAGTTGTGATACAAAAACATATAGGCCTATGGGCTAGGCTGCATGAGGTGTGCGACTATGATTTGAAAAAGTAGGTCAAAAAAAGTCATGGAGCTGTTTCTTGCCTTACTGCACACAAGCTGGGCATCATTCACAAGTGAAAATATATCATTCAGTGATAGGCTAATATTGTCACACATCAGACTATTCTTGATTAAATCTTGTATTTACATATAATAAATAATATATGTGTGAAATTTGTTTTGATTTAGAATGGACCATTATCAAGCACCTGTCTTGAAACTGGGGGGAAAAAATACAATCTATGCACTTAAATAGCTATGAAGGACGCTTTTCCCGTGGTTCATTTTCATGCTATAGGCTATACTCCTGTTGTAAAGAGAAGCAATGTACTTAATATTAGGAAGGTTGAGAAATAAATATAGCAGGCCTAGCCTATAGAAAGCTGATGGGATCATCCTCTTTTAATAGAGGCCATCAAAACTCTGTTTTCTCACGCAATTGCATAGCCTATAGAAATGTTGCACAACATGAGCTCATGGGCTCTCATTAAGTGTTTGTTTAGATTTTCGATTACATTTGAATTGATGTCAGAGTGCTTAGAGGGACAATAGAGTTCTGAGTACCAGGCAGTTAGCAAGTTTGGTTGGCTACTAATGACCACCAGCAGCATCAGAGCTTGGAGAAGCCTAGTTACCATGAATAAACGGTCATGTAGAATTTGACTGCGGTCATGACTCGTGACCTCTGGTATAGTCCAGATGCTCCTTCCCCTCGGAGATACACCCCTTTCTCAGGTCACCCACCCGTCTCAGGTGAGGTGATGGTATTACGTGTTTTTACATCTGACACTGGCGTCAAACTCAATTCCTGGAGGCCAGAGTGTCTGCGGGTTTTTTTCACTCCTCCCTTGTAGTTAATTGATTAATTAAGGTAATTGATTAGTTAGGAACTCCGGTCACCTAGTTGTCTAAATTAAAAGGAAATAAGAACATCCAGTAGACAAACAGCCTTCTGGAAATTGAGTTTGACACCCCTGGCATACAGAGGATGGGTCCTGACGCTACTGATGCCTCATTGTGAAGATTCCACATTTCCTCTTTGCTCAGCCCATGGAAATAGTCCCTTCCTCTGTCTTCATTCTCTCTCTGTCCATCCCACCCTCCTGCCCTACTGGGTTAGACTCCTTAGCTCATATCCTTTGTCTTGGCAGGAACAGTGGACGGTCGGAACCTGAAGAAAAGCTCAGAATAGCAGGATTTAATAGTCTTGACCTGACCTGGGCTGGGCTGGACTAATCCTGAAGTAACCCACTTGTTTCTTAAAGGACAATCACATTGACATACAGTATATCAAGGCTCCGGATTGGACAGATCAACATGCAAGGAGCTGCTTGGCTTTTTATGATGGGACAAATCACACCATAGATAAGGGCAACAGGCCAGGACTAATTCCTAGGACTGTGAACATAATTTAGATCAAGAGACTTCGGTAAAACTTTATAAAAACGTTCATGAATAAGAATTAATAAACTATTTATTAACTAAAATTACAATTCATAAGCATAACATCAATAATAATTTACAAAGTATTTATAACAACGTTTCCCTAACTTGTTCCTGGGGACCCAATGGGTGCACGTTTTGGTTATGCCCTAGCATTACAAAGCTAATTCAAATAATCAACTCATCATCAAGCTTTGATTATTTGAATCAGCTGTATAGAGCTAGGGCAAAGACCAAAATGTGCACCACTTGGGCTCTCCAGGACAGAGTTTGGGAAATGCTGATTTATAAACATGTATAAGCATTTATAATTGTTTACCGGTATTCATGACAGTTATTATAAAGTGTAATCGAGATTATGGTTCTGATCTTTAACATTGTACACACATTGACTCTAAGGCCGGGATTCAATCCGATCGTGGGTTATAGGCATTGCAGCTTTTAAAGGCAATTTCCTATTGAGGCCCAGCGTAGCCGGTCGCGACCGGGAGACCCATGGGGCGGCGCACATTTGGCCCAGCGTTATCCGGGGTAGGGGAGGGAATGGCCGGCAGGGATGTAGCTCAGTTGCTAGACCATGGCGTTTGCAACGCCAGAGTTGTGGGTTCGATTCCCACGGGGGGCCAGTATGATTATTATTAATTTTTTTATAATGATGTATGCACTCACTAACTAACTGTAAGTCGCTCTGGATAAGAGCGTCTGCTAAATGACTAAAATGTAAATGTAATGCAGCTTTACAGTGAATGAGATCTCAATGAACACGGGAACATTGCTTTCAAACGCCACAGTGCCTATGATCCACAATCAGATTGAATCCGGGCCTAAATCAATAATCAGTGGAATAAATGTTTTTCAATGATATCGATAGTATAGATATTTTTTCAATATATTTATGCAATAACCATATTTTTAAAGCCACATTTAAATTGTTGTAACATTGATTAATTACACGTTGTACTCCTGTACAAAGAAACACAACTTCAATGACAAACACAAAATAATTAATCTCAAAATATGACAATTGTTATGTTCACACTTTCCTCCCACCCTAACTATCCAAAAAGCATTACTTTATAAGAACATGACTGTAAACACAATGGAAGTGTTAATCTTTTTCACATACATAATTGCAAACACACCCAAACTATTTACATGTGCTTTATCATGATAAAAACAGACAATAATTATTTTAAAAAACAGTTTACTGTATATAATAATAGTCCAAAGAGTATCTTAAGCTTGTTTTGATCTAAATCCATTTGAAAGCTTTCTTTCAGTGCCTGAGCGCTGAAATGACTTCAGTTCTTGTCATTTACATGCAATACCTTCTGGTGATTAGTGGACTGAGCACAGAGTCCTACTTTTAGAACTGGCCTGGCTCACTGAAGGTTGAGGTGAGCTTGGTACAAATGAATACCATCCAGCTGGGCAAACCAAAGGTGAAATGTCAAACCTAAAAGGTCAAAGGACATGAGGACTGATCATTGCGCAATAACTAGTGATGGGTGCCATCTATTCATGAGGTGCGCCCCTACTCAGTTCGGAAGGTGGTGGGGTGTAGGTTAAGGTGCAAAGACGAGGGTGATCTCTGACAGGCCAGCTGTCCTTATGTCCCCCTCAAAGGTCTGTGCTTCCCTGGCCCCGCCCTGTCACAGATACACCCGTCTCAGGTCCCCAGGTGAAGTGATGGTGTTACACTGTGGACAAAGCTTCTTAGCCCCCTAGGAGACAAAACACAGCAATGTGTGACTGCTTTACAGAAATACAATTTGTTGTATGGAATATCTCTTATATCATGTTGCTTAGCTTAGCATTATCTGACAGGATTTCTTTTGGTTGTTCTTTATTCTTACCAGTGTGCGGAGCCAGCACTCCTCACAGTGGACGTGCCAGCACTGGATGGAGGCGAGGGGTGTAGTATATGTGTCCTATAGCGACAGACAGACAGACAGACAGAGAGAGAGAGAGAGAGAGAGGGGGGGGGGGGGGGGGGGGGGGGGGGGCGAAGCGAGGAAAGGCTTTTAGCACAGGAGTATTCAACCATCATAACTGCTAATGATTCACATACAGTATGGCATTATAGTGCTACATGCAATAACACACAGTAAAACACATTCCACATTCTGTCCTGTTCACACTGTGATTGCATGTGAGACAGCTGTCACTAGATGGCGATAAGTGTCTGTATCTGCTGTATTAGTGCCGCTTGAGAGGACGAACGGAACATGGACCTAGGAGAGCTACCCCTTGACTTTTTCCACATTTCGTTACGCTACAGCCTTATTCTAAAATTGATTAAATAGTTTTTTTTTTTTTACAACCCCTCATCAATCTACACACAATACCCCATAATGACAAAGCAAAAACTGGTTGTAATTTTCTTCTCTCTAATTTATAAAAAATAAAACACTTAAATAATACATTTACATAAGTATTCAGACCCTTTACTCAGTACTTTGTTGAAGCACCTTTGGCAGCGATTACAGCCTTGAATCTTCTTGGGTATGACGCTACAAGCTTGGCACACCTGTATTTGGGGTGGTTCTCCCATTCTTCTCTGCAGATCCTCTCAAGCTCTGTCAGGTTGGATGGGGAGCATCGCTGCACAGCTATTTTCAGGTCTGTCCAGAGATGTTCAATTGCGTTCAAGTCCGGGCTCTGGCTGGGCCACTCAAGGACATTCAGAGACTTGTCCCGAAGCCACTCCTGCGGTGTCTTGGCTGTGTGCTTAGGTTCGTTGTCCTGTTGAAAGGTGAACCTTTGCCCCAGTCTGAGGTCCTGAGCGCTCTGGAGCAGGTTTCCATCAAGGATCTCTCTGTACTTTTCTCCGTTCATCTTCCCCTCGATCCTGACTAGTCTCCCAGTCCCTGCCGCTGAAAAACATCCCCACAGGATGATGCTGCCACCGCGATGTTTCACCATAGGGATGGTGCCAGGTTTCCTCCAGACGTGACGCTTGGCATTCAGGCCAAAGAGTTCAATCTTGGTTTCATCAGAACAGAGAATCTTGTTTCTCATGGTCTGACAGTCCTTTAGGTGCCTTTTGGCAAACTCCAAACGGGCTGTCATTTGCCTTTTACTGAGGAGTGGCTTCCGTCTGGCCACTATACCATAAAGGCCTGATTGGTGGAGTGCTGCAGAGATGGTTGTCCTTCTGGAAGGTTATCCCATCTCCACATATGAACTCTGGAGCTCTGTCAGAGTGACCATTGGGTTCTTGGTCACCTCCCTGACCAAGGCCCTTCTCCCCCGATTGCTCAGTTTGGCCAGGTGGCCAACTCTAGGAAGAGTCTTGGTGGTTCCAAACTTCTTCCATTTAAGAATAATGGAGGCCACTTGTGTTCTTGGGGACCTTCAATGCTGCAGACATTTTTTGGGTACCCTTCCCCAGATCTGTGCCTCGACACAATCCTGTCTCAGAGCTCTACGGACAATTCCTTTGACCTCAAAGGGTTGGTTTTTGCTCTGACATGCACTGTCAACTGTGGGACCTTATATAGACAGGTGTGTGCCTTTTCAAATCATGTCCAATCAATTTAATTTACCAATCAAGTTGTAGAAACATCTCAAGGATGATCAATGGAAACACGATGCACCTGAGCTCAATTTCGAGCCTCATAGCAAAGGGTCTGAATACTTATGTAAATAAGAAAAATTCTAACAACCTGTTTTTGCTTTATCATTATGGGGTATTGTGTGTAGATTGATGAGGATAAAAAAATTATACATTTTAGAATAAGGCTGTAATGTAACAAAACGTGGAAAAAGTCAAGGGGTCTGAATACTTTACAAATGCACTGTAGCTGTGATACATTCCTCAAAAGTCCAGATTAAATAAATTGTTCAATTGGAATGTGTTTACTTTGGGTCTCATAGTGTGTTTAATTAGTTGAATGAAAGGTTTTCAGTATACAATTCAGTACTTCTGTTGAACTAGATTCCTCCCAGTGCTGCTATACACACTAGCCTGGTCGAAAAACGTGTTTGTGCTCTTATCCAACTCAATTACTCATTGTCAAGCTAAACAATGATAATGAGTGACAAGGAGTTGGCATGACAGCACAAACAGGCTGGGACTCAGGCTATATACTCACCATGCAGATGAGACATTTGTATCTGTCTCCTCTGGACAACTGCTTCTCTAGGTCTCGTATCCGAGTTTTTAGTGCGTTGAGTGTCGTCAATGCAGAATCCTCAGAGACCCTGAACACACACATACACACACACACACACACACACACACACACACACACAGCGAGAGAGGAAGGGAGTGATGGGGACAGTAGAAGAAGACACCAGAGTCATTTATAAATCGAAGATGGATTAAATTATTCGCTGGTAGACATGTACATAGAGCATGAATTTTAGCAGCAATCACATTGCCAGCACTCACTGTCTCATTTATCATGGGAAGAGAAAACATTCCTGAGAGAGGGGGAGGGCAAGTACCACACACACAGGCACACAGGCACACTCACATTCATACACACTCAGTCACCATGAGTTGTCCTGTATGAGTTAAGCTTGATTTAAAGCTGAGCTAAGGGAAAAGATGGAGTTTAGGTTGGGATTTTTGGGAAGGTTTACAGTAACATGTAGTTAATGGTAATGTAGAACATTTTCACAAAAAAAATGTCAGAACTTACATCTCTATGTCACTGTTTTTACAGGTCGTGTGTACGGAGGCTATGCTGTTGTCAAGTTTGTTGTATTCTCCGTTGCTGGTGGATGGACTTTCTGTAGCAAAAGAGGACTATCATTTTAAATCGTGACACCCACACACAGTTTTTCTCAATCGCTTACAATCATTTTTTGGAACAATTCTGTTGATTTTCAAAACACAAGACACAGAACTCTGTGGCCTTTTGCAAAACAGTAAATGCGTTTACAAAATGTAGTTGCCTTCTCAAAACATAAATACATTAATCAAAACTATATTATACCATCAAAATTGCAAATACATTCATCAAAAGAACACGACTGCCTGCAAAAAGATTCACGCAACTATAGCTACTTACAGTTGAAGTCGGAAGTTTACATACAATTAGGTTGGAGTCATTTTTCAACCACTCCACAAATTTCTTGTTAACAAACTATAGCTTTGGCAAGTCGGTTATGACATCTGCTTTGTGCATGACACAAGTAATTTTTCCAACAATTGTTTACAGACAGATTATTTCACTTATAATTCACTGTATCAAAATTGCAGTGGGTCAGAAGTTAACATACACTAAGTTGACTGTGCCTTTAAACAGCTTGGAAAATTCCAGAAAATGATGTCATGGCTTTAGAAGCTTCTGATAGGCTAATTGACATAATTTGACTCCCGAGTGGCGTAGTGGTCTAAGGCACTGCATCGCAGTGCTAGCTGTGCCACTAGAGATCCTGGTTCGTGTCCAGGCTCTGTCGCAGCCGGCCTTGACCGGGAGACCCATGGGCGGCGCACAATTGGTCCGGTGTCGTCCAAGGTAGGGGAGGGTTTGGCCGGCAGGGATGTGGGTTTGTTTCCCACGGGGGGCCAGTATGAAAAAAAAAAAAAATAAATAAATAAAAAAAATACATGTATGCATTCACTAACTGTAAGTCGCTCTGGATAAGAGCGTCTGCTAAAATGACAAAAAAAAACCTTCACCTTCAAACTCAGTGCCTCTTTTCTTGACATCTTCTTGACATTTCCAAACGCCTGAAGGTACCACGTTTATCTGTACAAACAATATTATGCAAGTATATACACCATGGGACCACGCAGCCGTCATACCGCTCAGGAAGGAGACGCGTTCTGTCTCCAAGAGATGAACATCAAATCAATCCCAGAACAACAGCAAAGGACCTTATGAAGATGCTGGAGGAAACAGGTACAAAAGTATCTATATCCACAGTAAAACGAGTCCTATATTGACATAACATGAAAGGCCGCTGAGCAAGGAAGAAGCCACTGCTCCAAAACCGCCATAGAAAAGCTAGACTACGGTTTGCAACTGCATATGGGGACAAATATCGTACTTTTTGGAGAAATGTCCTCTTGTCTGATGAAACAAAAATAGAACTGTTTGGCCATAGTGACCATTGTTATGTTTGGAGGAAAAAGGGGGTGCTTGCAAGCCGAAGAACACCATCCCTACCGTGAGGCACAAGGTTGACAGCATCATGCTGTGGGGGTGCTTTGCTGCAGGAGGGACTGGTGCGCTTCACAAAATAGATGGCATCATGAGGAAGGAAAATTATGTGGATATATTGAAGCAACATCTCAAGACATCAGTCAGGAAGTTAAAGCTTGGTTGCAAATGGGTCTTCCAAATGGACAATGACCCCAAGCATACTTCCAAAGTTGTGGCAAAATGGCTTAAGGACAACAAAGTCAAGGTATTGGAGTGGCCATCACAAAGCCCTGACCTCAAACCTATAGAAAATGTGTGGGCAGAACTGAAAAAGCATGCGCGAGCATGGAGGCCTACAAACCTGACTCAGTTACACCAGCTCTGTCAGGAGGAATGGGCCAAAATTCACCCAACGTATTGTGGGAAACTTGTGGAAGGCTACCCGAAACGTTTGACCCAAGTTAAACAATTTAAAGGCAATGCTACCAAATACTAATTGAGTGTATGTAAACTTCTGACCCACTGGGAATGTGACGAAATAAATAAAATCTGAAATAAACCATTCTCTCGACTATTATTCTGACATTTCACATTTTAAAAATAAAGTGGTGATCCTAACTGACCTAAGACAGGGAATTTGTACTAGGATTAAATGTCAGGAATTGTAAAAAAGTTTAAATGTATTTGGCTAAGGTGTATGTAAACTTCCGACTTCAACCGTATCTCTTGAGTCCAAGCAGAGAAAACAGATAGTTAGTCTGTGTTTTAAAAATCCCAGTAGATCAATACATTTTCTGTGCAGTCAGTAAATCATCATAATCAAAATTGGAAGTAAAACTATCCAGGTGCAGAATTACGGGCAATTAATCTACTTTTATGCATATTTCACCAAACTATTTCATACACATCAAATCAAATATTATTCCAGATAAAAATAAAAAATAAAAATAGGATTCATTCATCGGTATCATCACAATCCAATTCTATGTATTCAATACGAAGGTTGGTTTGCTCATAATTTTGTAGACTTTCCATTGGTGCACACAATCCACAATAGAAATAAGGAATGGAGGAACACAACTGATATGAATGTATAGGACTAAATCCAAAGCTCTATAATAGAAGGTCACAATGTTGGAGATGATGACTCAAAGTTACTTAGAAGTAACCCAACTTCATTCTCTGCAACTCTCCATGTCCGCAATATTGTAAGAAATCAGAACAATTAGACAGTCCCCATTGCCTAGATCTTTCCATATATTGTACATGGTATGGCACTGATGGGATGATTGAGAATTTTGTACAGTAGTATTTAGTCATTGCTGTAAATAATGAACACAATTGCACATATTTCTCTTCTGATGAAAACAATGTGTGAACAAAACACTTAAAGGTGCAATATGCAGATATCGCTCCGCCATTTCCTGGTTGCTAACATTCTAATAGTTTAGCCTAATTTCAGTTTATGTGACAAAATAAGCAGTCATTGTGTAGAGTATAATTGTACCATCTAAACCGCTGTGAAATATATTTTCCATAACCAAAAATATTGTATTTTGAAAGTAAAAAACGTGAAAACTAAACTTAAGAACGGGAAGCATAGAAATAGCGCACATAGAACATATCTACCACTTCTTAGACTTGCTTTCAATGACAATGAGAGATGTATAACTCTAATTTCTATGTGAATTTGGTCGGGTTGCCCAAAAAGTTACATTCACAGCTGACATTTGTATTTAATGGTTTGCAAAAGGTGGTCTAAGATATACAAGTCAGGTACCAAGGCAAAAAAATTATCAAAAGTTCTGTAAATGTATTTGAGCATTTGATCATTGCTGTTCTGCTTTAGATACATTTCAACACAGATCCAAAACCTGCATGTACACAATTGAGAAAAAGTGTAATATCCAACTAATGAAGGAATACACATGAACTCATTCAAAACCACATGTACTGATACTGTAGCTGTTCTCACCCTCATTTGTCCATTTTGAATGTTCCAGAGTTACTCTGTTGGACAGAGTTCCACCACTGAGAAACAAAAGTAGGACTGTATTTAGAACTAATAAGGCAGTTCATGCAGACAATAATAACAACACAGAAATTAGACATTGTTGTGTAGTGATGGAACACAGAAACAAGCCATGGGAGTGCCTGTGGTTGTACTTACTTTAAAACTGCCCCCCTCTGTGCTTTCCTCTCCTCCACCTCCCCAGGCTCCCGTTGTGAACAGGGGATGATGTCTGCCTCTGTATATCTGGATCACTAGTCTAAGGAAACATAACCTCCAGTGGAACCATAGAAATTTAATTGGTTGAATGGACATTCCAATTGAGGGGAATATTACACTTTATGTGGTGTGTCCTGCTTTTCTCACTGTAGGTTAATTTCTTATTTCTATGTCTGACTGTTGCTGCATTCAACAATGGTACATTGATGCCTTGTTGAATTGTTTGTTCTGTATGCAACAATGTTAACTTCTTCAATGCTGCCACATTCTTGTCAATCATGTGGAATTTCAGAGATTGGGAAATTATATGTGACTATAAATTAGAAGGATACTGTGCTCTTCCGTAGTCCAGGGTGTCATCTCCATCAACGTCCAGGTCAGCGTCACTGTCACCACGGCCCTCATTAGATGTGCTGCTGCTCACAAATACCGACCCTGAGGAGAGACTCATTATTAGACTCTATCTCCATCATAAATGGCACTCTATTCCCTTTACAGTGCACTACTTTTGCACTGTAAAGGGAATAGGCTGCCATTTGGGACATACCCTCTCTGGCATCCTCACTTTCATCTAGCACACTCTCACATGGTGGACGGTGTCATGTTGACTATTGAGTGTTAAGAGCAGATGTTCAAGGCCAATGAGAGGTGAGCCTTTTTTGCTTATTTAAGGCCATTGAAAGGTGACACTTGACAGGGAAAAGCTCAGAAAAAGCAAATAATACCAATTTTCAGTAGTAAATGATGAAAACTACAAAATGGGTGGAGTGATTCATAAGATTTCTCCATGTCACCTACAGTATCTCCTCTTTTCTGCAACAAGGGTTAAAGAATTCCGGTAATGTTCCCAATATCCTCAGGTTTTCCAGACATCCTGGTTGGAAAATTCCTGGAATTATGAAGGAATATGATTTCTGGAATACCTGGGAATTTTGGGAAAGTTACAGGAATTTTGGAACCCTATCTGCAACCCACATACTTAGGGTAGAGCTTTCTTAGGTAAGTGAGAGCAATTCAGCCTTATAGGTACTAGAGTATAATCTGGACTGAAAGGTTCAGTGCCTTTCTAACCACAACTCAGTCACATTATCCACCCCACCCCACTGCACCAGACCCATGACCCAGTCATAGCGTCTGGTATGGGGGGGGGTGTGTTTTACCTTTAAACCCCCCCAGCATGGATGTCATATGTATCCTCCTCCGCTCACTCCACTTCTCCACCTCTCCTCCCAGGTCCACCAAAATGTCCTGAAAAGACACACACAGACACGTATGCATGATGAAGCCACGCAGCCAGACACACACAAACTCACAGACACACACCATTTTACACACACCATTTTTTTCTTAACGCAAATACATATCTCATAGTCCTTGGTTGTCACTGATGTATCTCCTGGGGGTAACCTAAGGTACAGTAGAAATATAATCTTTCCACATGGCCACACTGAGCCTAATGGGCAGTAAACAATATTAGGGGTTTCAGCACAGGTGGGCACAACACTCTTTTAACCTCTGAATATTTCTGTACCCCGGTTTCCAGACCAATTCACCTGCCATATCCGTCATCAATCTTTCTAAGACATCCAGTACAGTATACAATATGACGGCTGCCAAGGAATAGCTAGGCTTGCTGTCGCGCAGGTTAGCGTTTTTCATCATGAATCTTGTTCTGGAGGCAGCTCTGCAGTGGTCACTAGCTGGCACAGCCACAAAGTCATAAAATCGGATTTAAAACCTAACCTTAACCTTAACCCTAACCTTACCCACACTGCTAACCCTAATGCCTAACCCTAACCTTAAATTAAGAACAAAAAGCACATTTTTGTTTTCATGAATTTTTTTTATATAGCCAATTTTGACTTTGCAGCTGACCTATCTAAGGGGAAATTGCGCAGTTCTGCCTCCAGGACAACACTCATGACAATAAACGTCTACCTGCTGCTGTCGCCTACAATACAATGGCAGTTACTATTTAAGAACATACCTGGCCTTCGTCAGCTTTCCTCCTTTTCAGCTTGCCGATCCTGACTGAAAGAAAACCAACATAGACAGACATGCAGAGAGGGTTAGCTAGAATATATCTGTAGAGCTAAGTATTAGCAATTGGCTGCACAACTCCTTATTTGGAGTAAATTAGCAACACATGGTACAGTAAACACCCACATAGAGACCCGAAGGAAGGACGTAAAGTAGAGAGATATTGCTTCTGCTTTCTGACAATGGGGGTAAATGTGACAGAGGATCCTAATGATAAATATAGACTGGAATACATGCACAAGCACGCACACACAGTCTTGTATAACAAACCTTGTGGGGACACACAATGCAGTCCCATTCAGAATCCTATTTTCCCTAACAGTTACATTTTAGTCATTTAGCAGACGCTCTTATCCAGAGTGACTTACAGTTAGTGAGTGCATACATTTTTCATACTGGCCCCTTGTGGGAATCGAACCCACAACCCTGGCATCACAAACACCATGCTCTACCAACTGAGCTATACAGGGCCTAACCCTAACTCTAACCCTTACCCTAGCCCTAACCTTAACCCTAACCCTAACCCTAGCTCCTAACCCTAAACCTAAACCTAATTCTAACCCTCACACTAATTCAAACCTTAACCCTAAACCCCCTAGAAATAGCATATGACATTGTGGGGACTAACAAAATGTCCCCAGTTGGTCAAATGTTTGTTTGTTTACTATTCTTGTGGGGACTTCTGGTCCCCACAAGTATAGTTAAACACGTTCACCCACCCACACACCACACACGCGCACACACCCACACCCGCGCATGCACACACCCACACACACACACCCACACACACACACACACACACACACACACACACACACACACACACACACACACACACACACACACACACACACACACACACACACACACACACACACACACCCTACCCCACACACTCAATGAGACACACAATAAGAAACGTAACACAGTAGAACAACAACTGTGGACTTCCTTTTTTTAAATCGTTTTCTTAACTGCAGATTGCCTATGGGGACATTAACTTTTAGGAGAGCGTAATTTCAGTAGGATGACAGTAGCCACCGGGGACAGAGAGCCACTAACCATGACCCACCCGGATAATGAGGGTTAAGGAGATGGTAATAGATGAAGGCCTTGGATGCGTCCCAAATGGCAAACTATTCCCTTTATAGTGCACTACTTTGGACCAGGGCCCATAGGGATCTGGTCAAAAGTAGTACACTATATAGGGAATAGGGTGCCATTTGGGATGCAGTTCTTGTCAAATGGACAAAAAAAGAGAGGCTGATTAACAGCTAGAAGAGGCCAATCTTCTCCCTAACGTCCCTTTAGAAACGCATTATACTGTACTGTATAACCTGTAATAAAAGCTAGTAGACCTCAACAAAGCCAACTGAAACCTATTCACGCTGGAGATAGAGGAAGAGGAGTGGTAGGCTTCTCTACTGGCTACTGGACAAACCATGGTTTCAGAAGTAGCTACTTATACACGTGTACTGCACAGGTAAGATATGGCCAACAATCAGCAGACTACAAGCTACAATGTAGCAAATCATTTGCTCTTGTGTAAAATTAATGAATGTGTTTATGGTTGAAAATCGTAAGTCTGTTCCCCAAAATGTATAATTTATAAACAAAATAGTCTGTGAGTCTAGTCTGTGAGAATAGCTCTCAATGTAAGTATTGCGGTATAAAGTTGGCCATATTGTGGCTCGTGTCTCTTACCAGTTTGTGTGCTGTCTGGGGTTAGGGGGATTCCGTTGTGGGGGCGAAATGGGGTGGGTTTGGCGTAGCACCTGCACCAGCAGAGGTCATCGACTGTTAACATATCAAGAGGTGAAAGGTCAAGGGTTAATAGATCCTCTGCTCGTGTGGGTGCTAGGTCAAAAAGGGACAGTTCTCTCAGTGACAGTTGTAGGGACAGTCATACTAGTTGCTCAGTTGCCCCCATTTTAATGCATCTTCTAAAAATCTCCATAAATATATCCTACCCGATGATTGGCCTTTGAATATAGTTTTACAGCCAATTACCCCATTGCAAAAGCAGCAACCCAACTACCCCACCCATCTGAACCAACAACAGCTCTGTCTTTGAAATCACATGTATTTCTGACCACATACCATTCAGTCTTGTATGTCTGTTGGTCCTCACACGAAGAAACGTCTGTGGAATAAGAAGAGAAGATAACTCTACTCACAAAAGAACCGTCAAATAAGTATTCTTGTGTATGCGTGTATGTGTGTGTGTGTGTGTGTGTGTGTGTGTGTGTGTGTGTGTGTAGTGAAGCACCTACCTGGTATCTGTCTGAGTGGGGGTCTTCAGGTGGGCAGGGGGAAGAGGTGGGGGATCCTCCCTCACGTTTAATGTGCAGAGATAGTGAGAGGGACTGTGGACAAAGCACAAAGGACAGGGTGTGTGTGTGTGTATGTGTGCATGTGTGAGTGTGTGTCTGTGTGGGAATATGTATGTATGTGTGACCATAAGTGCTTTTATTTACCTTGGAAGCCCCTAATGGATGGTCCCTCTGCACTGAATTAATACTGTCAAAGGGAAGTAAGAGAGAACATTTAAAGGGTGCCCAGACAGGAAACAGATGCTACAATATTGAACATTGACACTGTTTATTGTTGCTTATTCTCCATGCCAGTGGTACAGATAGTCTATCTAATATCCAAGGTTCACATACAAACGCACACAACACACACACACTCACACACACGTAATATCCAAGGGCCATGTTTAATTTGAAGCCATTATTGTCCTCAGCACGGTTGTTAAGCAGATTTGGCAAGTAATGTCTTTATTGGACGAATCATTCTTGTGGCCTAAGCAGGTAGTGTGTGTGTGTATTTATTTGTGTGTGTGTGCGTGAGCATGTTAGCTGATTATGGGGGTTGAGAGCAGGCATTATAGAGGCATTATATTGGCCTAGCTGTAGGAAGTGTCGCCTGGGGCAGGAGGGCCGTTATGAAATATGCTGAGAAAAATGAGGCACCTTGTAAACATTATACTCCAGTGACAAAGGAGACAGGAAATATGATGGAGGGGCCCTCCAGCTATCTGTAAATATTAATAATCACAACCACATCTGGAAGCACTAAACAAGCGAGAGAGAGTGGAGAGAGAATAAATAAATAAAGAATGAAAGAAAGAAAGAAAGACGGGAGGTGGAAAGAAAGTAAACAATCAACTACAGTATGTAGTAAAGAACAATCGAGTACAGTTTGTGCAGTGTTCTATATGCCTACCTGATTTGTAACTGTGTCAGTCTGCCCATCTCCTGCTCCATGTGCTCCTGTAGCTCACCTGGTCGTAACACAGCATGGCACACAGGACACACTGGGGCCTGGGAGTCATACAGGACTTTACCCTTACCTACTGACCCAGCAAGGGGAGGAAAGGCAGAGGGAGGAGGGAAGAGTGTGTCATTAGAATATTCAGTGTCAAATAGGTTTCAGGTTTAATATACACACACACACACACATACACACATGCTTGAATGCTAGTGCACACACTCACACATGAACACAAGTACACACACACACCGCCCCCACCCCCCACACATTCACCACCACCCTGTCAGTGAGCCTACATCATAGGCTGTCAATGGGAACATTAGCCCGGCCCACCCGGCCCATTGGGTTTCACTGATGGTTCATGGCCATAAGCAGCCAGCTGGGAAGGGAGGTATACTATATCAACATTTTACCAGGTGGATGAGGTGATTTACTCCTGAAAGCCATTAATCACATGTAGAAAGGTATGGCTATCTCTCTGCATCACATTTCCCTCTATGCCTCAACACAACCAGGCAAGAGAACCCCATAATATAGCCAATCATGAGGGAATGTACAGTATGAACAATAGCAATGACATAAATAAAAATGAATACATTTGATATGAATAAAAACAAAGGCTCATACAGTAGGCCTACTCATCACCATTAAAAACACTGTCACAGTATCACACCAGCCATATTACATTCACGTAATTTTGCAGACGCTGTTATCCAGAGCGATTTACAGTAGTGAGTGCATACATTTTCATACTGTTCCCCCGTGGGAATCGAACCCACAACCCTGGCGTTGCAAGTGCCATGCTCCACCAAGTGAGCCACACAGATTTTCAACCTGAGAGCCTATTAGGGGCCTGCAGCATGTGTAGTCACCTATCTGCTTCCCTCAGGAACCTATTACACAACACATCAGCGACACTCATAAGGACAAAATACATGACAGGTTGGCGTCCCCTCTGACATCAGCTGAGCTACGAGCGCCTAATGAGGAGCCAAATAGGGACAAAATGGTTGCTAAATAAAACATGGTCACAAATAGCAAAAAGCCACTCAGTGTCCTTGGGGAAGTGACAGGTCATTCCATGTTCCTCACGCCTTTTTTGCATCCCTCGCGGAAGGCTAAATGAGTTTTCCCGACACGCATTGAGCGTTGCCGGGCTTTCAGCGCTCCCCGGCCCGGAACATGCAGGCATTAGTAAACAATGAAATCTCGGGCCTGAAATTGAATTTATAACCACATTACCTGGAGAGATAAGCGTCTCTGAATGGCACCATGATAAGAGGAATGGGATTTGATTTTCAGGTGGTTTATTGTCCCTGTTTTTGTAGACTCTCCCTCCCCATCCTCCCTCCTCCATATCCTGTCAACGCTTGTCTGAACCAGGCAACCTCCATGTTAGGGACAGTTTCCCAGCCCCAGATTGAGGCTATATCTGGCCTAAAAAGCACTTTTAATGACTGAGACGATTGTATGTATGTGTGCGTGCGTGCGTGTGTGTGCACCTGCATGTGTGCACATCTGAGACATCTACATCACAACCACCCTGTACACATGCTGCCTCCCCCTCCTCTCCTACTTCTCTCCCTCCCATAGCCGGGGGAAGTAGGGGTGCTGAGAGTGCTGCAGCACCCCCTGAAAAATCGGAATAAAACAAAAATGTTGGTCTATTCCTGTATTAGCGGACAGATTTTGCCATCTGTAGCGCTGGCACAAAAAAATATTCTGCGCCTCACGGGCGAAAGAATCATAGCACCCCCACCCCCAAACATCTTCCCGCGGCTATGCCCCCTCCCATTCCCCCTTACCCCTCCCAGATAAACCGTGTCAGCATCAGTCAGCCTCAGCACCGCTGAGCCTGGGGGGTCTCAGACACATAACAGGGGGGCAGTAAACCAGCCTATGTGGCTAGCTAGCTATCTCCCCATTTAACAGGAGCTGAACGGATTCCATCTCTGTCTCTGTCTGGAAAGCTGTTCTCCCCAGGCTGCCAAAGCTGTGTAGCACTCTCATTTGTTCTGCTCTTTGTTCAGCACTGGTCCCATCCCTCACTAAGGAGGCTGGCGGTTAGGCCAGTGGTTAGGCTACACTGTCTCTGTTGCTGAGGACAAACACATGCACGGTGGCATCATGGTTAGGCTACCTCCTAGGTTACATCCTTAAGCCTTTGTCTCTACAATAATATCCATACTGTTGTAGATGTACTGTACAGCTAACTTGGGGTACATTGTGGCCTGTCAGAGGAAATGGTTTGTTGCAACAACAAAAAAACAGAGAATGTCAAAAGGAACAACAGTTTACAAGTCACTTCATAACGCTCCTATAACATAATATAATGCCATTTTGCAGACGCTTTTATACAAACTGACTTACAGTCATGTGTACATTGTTTTACGTATGGGTGGTCCCGGGAATCGAAACCACTACCCTAGCGTTGCAAGTGCCATGCTCTCCCAACTCCTATTGTAATGTATTTTGTATCTATAGAAGAAATCCCAATTTCAAATCTCAAAATCATTCAAGATTCAGGAAAATAGTATTTCTGATATGGTTTGTTGTTGTCAGGAGGAAATCATGTGGACGACAGAGCAGTATGACTGCATGTCAGCACAAAATAAATACAATCTATATCTTATCTCCCAAGGGCTTTCACAGGAGTCAACTGTGAGAGGAATGTTTTGTAGAAATACTGTATTGAGTTTTTGTCTAATCCCCTCACAATTCAATTACATAAAATAGGAACCCTCATCTGGTTCATGATGTACAATGTATTTAAATACACGAATAATCTATTTGAGGGAAATCATTATGATGACTGACAGAACTGTTGATATTGTAGGCTATAGGATCCTTGAAACACAGGAAGTCATAGGCCTACAGTATGTATGGTACATCAATCCTATTCCGTATAGCCACACCACCAATACAGAGATCAGACAACCACACACACACACACACACACACACTTCCCTAAAAAGACCATAGTCACCCTGTGGGCTGTGGTAATCGCTGATGCCAGTGCCCATATGACGGGTGCCACTACTGTACAGACACACGTAGCTGAGATGGCTGACGTGACCTTTACAGAATGCCACATGTCATCAGGGCTTGATGTCACCTTGTGACATTAGGCCAGGGCATGAACAAGGCTGTTGTAAAGAATAACCCGCAGTGACAAAATCTGAAGACATGGTATAACTATGATTGACAGACATGGGCACTGGTCAAGATTGGATTGTTTTGAATGGCTGGGTTATGGTACAGGCAAGACTCCAGAAAAAAAAGGAGGATTATTTGTGTGTCTGCGTCTTGCTGTATGCCAGTCTCATGATGCCGTCCACGTTTATCACTCAGCTACTGGAAGGAAGGCTCGAAATCAAGGCTAGCTATATGCCTATCCGGTATGAAAAAACATTGACACCTCGCCCTAACTACCATCATCAGACCAAAAACAATTAGTTTCCCTTTCCACTTTAACGTCATAATAAGCACAGGCTCTATTATGTGTAACCAGGGGGTAGATTGTGGAGGCTTGTGGGGGCTGTAGTTGGCAAGCGTTCAGAGGAAACCCAAGTCATAAAAGACATTGGCTCCCACCACACCTGTGCCCCGCCCCTTCCTGTCTCCCACGACAACCTGCTTCCTATTTAAAACATCACATCAAGAATATTAAAGGATATTACTCAGCGCTTTTCTTCCTACCTGTAACACACTTCCTACCTAAGTCCCAAATGGCACCCTATTCCCTATATAGTGCCTATGGGTCCCTATGGGTCATGGTCAAAAGTAGTACACTATATAGGGAATAGGGTGCCATTTGGGATGCTTCCAAGCTCTCTGAAGTAAATGGAGGGAAATGGGCTGCCGTTTGTTTTTACTGGGGAAATAATGGCCTATTGAGAGGTAGGCTATTTAATGAGCAACATAATAGGCCACGTAGCTGCTCACACATATGCCAGTGCCCATATGACGGGTGGTTTTCAAAAGGTTGGTAGGTTTTTTTCAGAATTTTTATTCATCCCAGAATTTCCCGGGTATACAATAAAAAGCAAATGTGATGTTGAGAAATCCCCTTGACTAACTGTTTTTACTGGTCAATTACTGTAATACACACATCCTCTGATTCCCAAATGGCACATTATTCCCTATTAAGTGCAATACTTTTGACCAGAGTCCTATGGACCCTGGTTCCCAGCTTCACCTCACACCATCCAATCCATTGTGTATAATGTCTTAAAGATACCCCACCACCATCACCACCCTTACCGCCACTCCCTCACTGCCTTTAATCAATGTCTCATTAGGACTGTAATGATTAGTCATTGACTAATAAAGACTGTATTAATTCATTGTTGATGGGTCTTATGTCTACATTGTACATTAGAAGTGCACATGGAAGACAGCTCCGTAATTCCCAGTAGGGCAAGGGTTCTCATGCTTTTTGGGGCCGGGGACCCCTTTTGTAATAGCAAATTCATCAGGGACCCCCTCATAATCAGAAATCAACTTGAGTGAGATAAAAATAGCACACAATACGTTTTACTATGACTTTGGCAGTGCATGGCCGAACAAACAAAGTCTTGAGCCCTGGGAAGGAACAATTTGTAGTTTTCAAGCTAATTTCCTGCAATTCTACACATTTTGTCATGGGGAAGAGAGACTTTTTGTTGATGCAGCTTTAAAGCTAAAATCCTGCTATTTTACACAACATTTTAAAGGGACTATAGGAAGTATTGAGTTGACAAATGTATAATTGGTGGAGCATAGCCATGGGAAGTAGGGGATGCTGAGGGTGCTGCAGCACCACTGAATCTGAATAAAATCTCTCCCTTTCCCTCTCTACCGTCTTTCTTTCTTTCTTTCATTCTTTATTTATTTATTCTCTCTCCATCTTGCTCTCTCTCTCTCTCTCTCTCTCTCTCTCTCTCTCTTCACTATAGTTCCAACAGCTGTGTCCATGGCCGTGCATGTCCTCGGCCAATCATCTCTTTCTATCCCTAAATGAGAAAGAGAGTGGACTCGCCAGCCATGTCTAAACTACCAGGTTCTCCTCTTAGACCCTGT